TCGCACATCATGTTCCACATTATTTAGTTGGGGCCGCCAGACTACCAAAGAGAGAGCAAGAGGGAAAGAGAGCTATTAGATGCCCACACACACACACACACACACACGCGCCACTCCACACCACACCGTTCCAATTGGAATGCCCAGCATAGTGGGAGAAACATGTCTAATGGGACTTTTATCATAGGCGCCGCATTGATAACAAGTTTTCTGCACCAACACACTCGCACACATGCACGGCATACACACTCACACGCACGCCCGCACACACACACGCGCGCAGGTTCAGCACTTTTTTCTCTTTCGCATAACTGACATATTTTTATGCTTTAGGTGTGCCGCGGGCGCATTTTGCAACAACAAATGGCCGAAAAAGCCGCCGTTGACCAGCAGGTGCGACTCCAGTGGCCTTTTCACTGCCCCCAAACGCCTTTTTCACCTTAAAATTTAGTTTTGGGGACGGCTTTTATGCGAAAAAAGGCTGTGGAAAAACTCCCCCACTCCACACGACTGCGAAACGTACCCCGATCGATCGCACGGCGGCAGGGCAGCAGCAGCAACAACAACACTTGCCGCTGGCTGGCCTTCGCATATGTCTCCGGCGCTTTTTATTTAAATATATGTGAAAATCCACTCTTTAGAGGTTTTTTTCCGAATTTACGATTGTAAAGAAACTAGGAATGGGCGCGTGAGTTTTTTGACTAGTCTGGCCACTCTATATGTGCGGCATCTGGGCAGATTAAAACGCCGAAACGGACGATCTGGCAACGTTGGTTGCACATGAACGAAAAGTCGGGCAGCACTGGTGCGTTGCCAGATCGCGCTATCTGAGGGTTTTCGCGTTCTAGTGTGCCCAAAAGCCGCAAGAGCGCGGCCATTTTCAGGGATTTTATGTGCGTCCTCCATGTTCCAAATCCCACCGTTCCATTTCGACGCTAACTCACCGACGCTAAATTGACGCAAATAGATTTTTGACGTTGTCAGCGTAAAAAACTGCGGTCACACTCAAAGCATCCAACTGGCGTTTGTGTTTTATTTTTTTTAATCGGACAAATTAATCAGTTTAAGCACTAGCATAAGGATAACTCGTTGCCATACCACTCACCAAAGCGCCGAAGCAAACGAATAAAATGGGGTAAGACCGGCGGGCGGTGGTAAACTCCTGCAAAACCATTTCATTTTCGTGTGGGAAAAATCGACGCCGTAAAAGCTGTAATATCTGCATCTTGTTGTTGTTGTCCTTTTGCCGTTGTTGTTGTTGCTGTGCTTCTGTGTGTAGCGGGCGGCGTAAATATGTACACACACACCCGCACGGGCACACCTGGAACACACGCGTGGGCATGCCAATTATGTGCCTGCACGAGTATGTAGGCGTGCGGGTGTGTGTGCATTGTGCGCTTGAGACGAAAAACAAACGGCAAAATTCAAAAGCAAGGCTGTCGAGAAGGCTTAAGCACTAATGCAATTTAGTCGACTGTCGCCAGTCGCCAGCGATAACAGGAAGACATCACAGCACAACGGACAATGTCGGTGGATAGGTAATAGATAAGCACACACACACTGTGACACACGGCCTCCCAAAAGGCTCGATTTAAGTACCTCACCGAAATGGAATTTTTAATTAAGCGTTATTAAACCCTTGACGTTCTATTCCCTTTATGGACCACAGCGAACAACCGATTTTCACCTGCCAGGCGCACGTCTTTCACATCGATCCGAAGACGAAGCGCACCTGGATCACGGCCAGCATGAAGGCCGTCAACGTGAGCTTCTTCTACGACAGCTCGCGGAACCTCTACCGCATCATCAGTGTCGAGGGCACCAAGGCGGTAATCAACTCAACGATCACGCCCAACATGACGTTCACACAGACCTCCCAAAAGTTTGGCCAGTGGAGCGATGTGCGGGCGAATACGGTATACGGCCTGGGTTTCGCCTCTGAGGCGGAACTGACCAAGGTAAGTTGCAGGGTGTCCGGTTGGACGAGGCCAGAACCATTCACTCACTATCCTACCCGCAGTTTGTGGAGAAGTTCCAAGAGGTTAAGGAGGCCACCAAGAATGCAGCAAAGTCGGCAAACGGCTCTAATGCCGTTACGCCCACGACCTCGGCCAACACGTCGCCAATTTCCGGCCGAGCCGTGGGGGCCATGCAGAACGACAACACGGCCATCGATCCGCATACCGTGGAGCCACCCAACATGAGCAATACCAACACCCAGAACGCCAATCCTGACAGTCCCTCACATAAGCTGCTCAATACCAACGATGGCAAACCGGACATTGGCTCGGCCACACCCTCGCCTCAGCCCACTTCGGGAGGAACTGGCGGAGGTGGCGGCGGCGTGACCATCTCCTCGGGCGGCAGCATTGTCGGCATGCACACGGGTCCGGGAGCGGGAGCCACCGCCGAGCAGCAGCTCAAGTACGAGAACGAACGCTTGAAAATGGCCCTGGCGCAAAGGTAAGCATTATATGGTGAATTCTTGGATCTTGATGGGTCCAAACCCATTGGCTTCGTTGCAGCTGCGCCAATGCCAAGAAGTGGGAAATCGAACTGGCCACCTTGAAGAACAACAATATACGCCTGACCAGCGCTCTGCAGGTAAGCGAAGTGAAGCGGTCTTTGGATTACAACAATTACGATCCCATATTTCGCTCTTCTTTTGTAAAGGAATCTACGGCCAATGTGGACGAATGGAAGCGCCAACTGCACACATACAAGGAGGAAAACATTCGACTCAAGCGAGACATGGAGCTACTACGAGTGGGCGGAGGTGGTGCGGGTGCTGCCGCCGGAGCCAGTGGCGTCACCGAGGACGAGTTGCGTCGGGAGGTTGCCACGCTGAAGGCACGAACGGAACAACTGCAAGCGGAACTGTTGCAAAATGAACTAGAGCTTAAGTCGGCAAACATGAGCCTACGAGAGAAGTGCAATGATCAGACTGTAAGTGGAGTCTTTATTAAGTTTAAAACCTTGTCAAATAATATATTTATGTTTATTCCCAGCTGGCCAAGCTGAGCGAGCTAAACGTGGTATTTGCCAAGCAGCTATCGGAGTTGTATGCGGTGCAGAAGGATATGGAGAATGTCATACATCCAGCCAAGTGCACTTGAGACACAGAGATTGCGGTTAAACGAAAGGTTTTTTTCTTCTCAAAATTGTATAACGTAATATCAAGTGACTATTATCAGCTTCCTCTTTCAGGTTTCAGCGCAGGAACAGACTACAATGACAAACACTACAACGACATCGACATCCACAGGAACCACGACTAGTAAACGATATTTAAGCAACTTTCCCCTGGCCGAGGCCGAGAGCACCCTCTCTAATGTCACCTCGATCCAGAGCCAGCTGCAATCATCGCTGTATGAGACCCAGAACACGGCCCAGTTAAAGGCGCTGGACAAACACTCTGCCTTGCTCCAGGAGCTTCATCAACGGCAGGCCACTCCCAGGCGCAACTCTGCTGCCGGTGAAGCGTCTGCTGCAGCTGGCTCGGGTGGGACAAAAACCGCCACCATTCTCGTTTCCAAATCAAAAACAAAAACTGGGCTGCCTCTGTTGCTGAAGAATTCCATTAACAATTAGAGAAAATCCATGATGAGACAGAGAGAAAGGGAGTCAGCGGCGTTTTTGTAATCTTTATATTGGTAGTTTGTATACAAGGACAGGGTTAGGCGAGAGCCCGCGCACCTCACAGCCCCTCAATTCCCCCCCAAAGCCTGAACCTTACTCATTTTATTACTCATTTGTGTGTTGTAACTGTAACGTCTTTTGGTAACTTCGAATCGAAATTAGAATAAACCCATGCCCAGTATTTCCGTGGCCATTTAGGAGGTCCTAATCGATTGATTCTCGTGCGCGCACTAAAGTGCAATATTTATCCACAGTATATATATGAATGTAATGATATTATGTGCTCTATATACACTTTCAACCGATTGTTAATTAATTTTTAATGAGAGCTTGACAATGAATACTCCCGCAAGAAATTTCCAAAGAAAAATCCAAGCATTTCTATCGAACAAGCGACACGCAATTTATTTTGTAAATGTGCTCGAACTTTTTATATAGTATTTTTAGAAGGCTAAAGCTAAATCTTAGGCATACGAATTAAACGTTTTATTTACTTTTCGACCTGTATTTTCCCCTCATTCGATTATAATTCATGCAAGACCCATCACAAGGACCCCTTATTGCAGTTATGCACTGATTTACTAGCATATTATACATAATACTTTTACATACATAACATTATAGTATGCATAACTAACAATGACACTAACGAAACCATATGGAATACCATGGATAAAATAAATTAAATTTTATAAGTGGAGCGAACAAAGTCCAAGTAAAACACGAGACTAGCAAAGTAAATTATTTAAAGGAGAACCAAAACGAACAAGTCAAGTAATAGAGTAATGCAGTTTGGATTATAACAATTAACATATATGCATGCATGCGTTCAAAGACCTTATAATAACAAGATGCACAATGCGCCTGTATTTGAATTGCCATATGAAAACCCTCTCTGTAGCACACAAATTGAGAGCGTAAAATCTAAAAGTAAAATGTCCTAGTGCGTATGTTTGCTTAAAGATCTAGAATGCTATGCTCGAGAGCAACATTTCAAGCTATCCATCTTGTCACTATAAGCTCTTTGGTACAATATATGCATTGAATCGAATTAAAAACGCTACTCGACAGAAGCCAGCAAATAATAAAAATACAAAATACACAGTCTCCTCGCCCACACCGACACCCACTAAACGAACAGTTATGCAGTGGCAATTACAAACGTTTGCGGTTATATTCAAGCCATATTGTTATGCACGCGCTGCATAATTAACCCAGTTGAGAAACAAATAAGAATTAATAACGAAAATGAAATGTTGAACATACAAATTTAGCAGTTAATATAAAGAAGGTAAACAGACAGAAAATGAAAATATACATAAATAAATAAATATATTAAATAAATTAAAGTCAACTTCGGATACAGTTTTTCACTTTTCTTCTTTATTCAACATTTATAAAGGTTTTATAAAGAGACTTTAGTTCCCAAGTTTTTGGGAAATGGTTCAAGTTTATGTTATAAAGAAACAACTTGGAATTTCAGCTTTTCAATGTGAAATTTCTTAAGAACTTTACCGATTTTTTAATAATTGAAGTATATATAATATTCTATAATTATATTTAAATATTTTCTAGACAAACAACGATTTGTACAACTCGGATTTGGAGCTCTCCGTCCAATCACCGACCTCATTGGGCGCCATAAAGTTGATGAGCTTGTTGTGCACCACATAGCTATTTGGAAAAAAAGAAATATTAAAAATATGAGCAGCTTTGCTTTTCCTAAATACGGAATGCTTGCTTACCGCAACTTGCGACCCTTGCTGGCCCTGGTGTCCACCTTCTTCTTCATCTTCTGGCGCAGCTTCTGCAGCTCCACAAACTGTTTGGTAATCTCGCTCATGTTGGACGAAGTGCTGGCCTTGTACTCGATGAGCTCGCGGAGCTGCTGGTGGTAAAAGTCACTGTCGTCGTAAATGTGGCTCAGTCGCTTTGGGGACTCGTTCTCCGGCTGTTCCGGCTGATTGTTCTTCATAGTCTGCGACTTCTCCACGAGCACTTGCCGATGGCCGAGAGCACTTTCAATCTTCTTGATTATATCGTAGTCTTCCTGCACTGATTTACGCTTTACACCCGCTCCGGGAGTTAGTAGTTTGGTGCGATCGTCCCACTTGAGCAGGACTTCGTTGCGATAGCTAGAAATTTGCTGAAAGTTGCTCTGCAGGCAGCTGCCAAAGCGTTTGCCGGGTGGCCCCGCCTCCTCTGAAGGATGCTTCCGCTTTACGGACTTCCGCATCTCGGAGTTCTGTTGATGGAGAGCACTCTGGAGGGCCAACAGTTGCTGCAGGAGCTTCGATGAGCGTTCCTGCGCCTCATTCAGCACCGATTGAAGCTCCTCGTTCTCTGAGCCAAGTTGCTTTAGTGTGTCCGGAGCGGGCAATTGGTTGGCCTTACTGGTGAACTTTTGGGTGTTGATCCTGAGCTCAAGAAGACGCTCCCAAATGCGCAGTTGATTTTGAACGCAGAGTCCCTTTTGGATCTCTGCTTGATGGTTTGTTTTGGACATAAGGTCCGAGGGTTTAATGGCATCCTCTTCCGCCTCTTCTTCGTCATCGTCATCGTCAGTATCTTCTGCTTCGTCGTCGTCATCGTCATCGTCCTCATCCTCTTCGCTATCATCATCATACCCATCTTCTGCCAAAGCGGATACCAAGTCTCGGTTGCTGGAATCCTGGGCCATCTCCTCATTTTCATCATCGTCCTCCTCAGTGGACTCCTTTTCGCCCTTGGCATTAGCGGCGCTTAACTTTTTATTGAAGGCTTCCAAGTCTACATCCTCGTCGCTCTCCTCGTAGGGCAGCTCCTCCTGGTCGCTTTCCTCCTCCTCATCCAGTTCATTTCGACTGCTGATTTTGCCCTTGTAGCGGTCACTCTGCTCTGACAGCAGCTTCACGTTCTGCTTACGAAAGTCCGTGCTGCGGGCATCCGGCAGATCGTACTCATTCTCCTCAAAATCAACCAGGCGCGGCCCAGTGGCCACGTCGAAGTCCGAGTCCTCCTCACTGTCGCTCTCGTTTGGATGGGCGATCAGTTGGCTGACCTTTTCGGCCACCGTTTGGGGCTGTTTCTTTGATTTCCGTAGCATTTCTTTAGGCTTTCATTTGGTTTAACTAATTTCAAAATTAAAATTAAAATTACCACATGGAATAGAGATGGTAACAAATCGACTTCAACCCGATACCATCGATTGTTTTGGATTCGGTTGAATATCGATTACGTTTAATAGGAATCGATGTATCGTCAACCTGTATTTTATTCATTTACTATATTAAATATAGTTATTAAACTTTTTATTTAATTTTAAATTTTTATGAAATAAAAAAACAAAATCATCAAGTTTTGGCTTTTGAAAATCATTAAATATTAGGCATTGCCTACTTTTAGGCATTTCAGTAGGACAGAATATTCGGCGGATTTTAAAGCTTAAATTTGAAATTAATCTGCGCATTGAGAGCTGCAGTTTTCAGTTGTTAATGCACACATGCCACACGCCCGCTCATTAGACTCGACCGACTGCCGTGTTATCAGGTGGGCCAGGTGCATCTTGATAAGAGCGCACGCAAACGAGACAACAGCGCACGCACACACATTCGTAGCATACAAAAGCGCGCTCCTGGACGTGAACTTGAAATCCTTTGTCCTGACCCCTCATTAAATGTAATAGCCGTGTGGTCGAATTGCGAATCACTGGGGCGGCGTAGGTTAAATTGTCAACCTTGGCCGTGGACTTGCGGCAGATGCCAGTGGACGCTCGTCGGGATCGGAGGTCTTGCAATCCGGAAAAGGATATATACTGCGCAGCGCCCAGAGCACCAAGTCTGAAGCTCCGAGCAGCGCTAAGCCAAGGCAGACAGACCCGCCGATAAGGCCTATAAGTAACACCAATTTAATTACTTTTTCTGGGTGAGACGCGACTCATGCGGCTGGGATCTCGGCTGATAAGGGATCGCAACATTTGGCGATCGGAACGACCAGCTTTTGAACTTTGAGTCGCACACACGCATTGATAAATGTGAAATTTATGCGGGCGGGACCTGGGACCACAGACGCACACTCGTGAAGACACACACACACACCGCGGCAATTGGGGTCGCCCGCTGTTATCACCCGTGTGTCGCACTTTTTTCGCTCTTCTTCCAGCTTGGACTATCAGTTGTTGTCGAGATTCGATTCCGCGGCATCAGCATCCCATCTCGGCCAGGCGATTCAGTCAGTTCCTGCTCGCCGAACGGTGAGAATGTTCCGTTAATAAAATTATCGTTTCATCGAATGCGATTTAACAGCGCGTGTGTGTGTGTGAGTGCGTGGGCGGCTTGCAGTGAGAACGCTGCTTGTGAAGTGCGTGTCAAGAAGCGGTGAGAACGCCGCATTCATTGTGTGCCAAAATAAGGAAGATTTAAGATTTTATTCAATTTTTTCAAGTAAAAATCTTTTGAAGCGCAAGAGCACGGTGTGGCCGCGTGTTTAGAAAAAGCGAAACAAAACGGAAATCACAAAACGAAAAACAAACAATCAAGAAATCAAGTTGTATATAGAAGAAAAGAAATTATACGGCACGTACGCGTAGTCTCGTAATCATTGATTACGCCTACAATTAGTATATATACGATCGGGTCGATTAGCTGTAAGAAAAACTGGTAAATCGCTCTGTAGTCTGTAATCTCTGAGCAGCTAAGCACTCTTGGAGGTAAACTCGAGATTCTGAGCACCTTCAAGATCAACACATAACAGTATAGATTTTTTTAAACATTTTATTTCTAGTCCATTTGATTCCTCTTTCATTTAATAGACATTTTGTTAAACTATAATTATTTGTTTGTTGTTGAGAGCGCCCATTAAAATGCCAAGTTCAAAGGGTGTCGAAGGCGGCGCGTCTAAACAAATAACCCGTTAAACAGTCCAATTCAAGGATTAATGAGAGAACAATGAGTGGGGGGCCATTCATTCAATTGAGTGAACTCTCGCTCGATTGAGCGCAATCGATTAACAGATTAAGATTCCAGCCAGCGAGAGCGCAAGATGCTCTCCATTATAATTATTTTCGTATTAATGCTGGGAGAGTCCAGCATAAGTGGAATATTTATTATCAATTCGAAATGAAAATATTCCAATTAGGTGCGAGTGTAATTAGTTCAAGGTCATCGCAAGTATTAGCCCCAAAAAAACCGGACAACAAACCAACGAAAATCAAAACAAATCCACAATAAACATGTTCTTGAACCCACCGAACGAGCAACAAAAAATGTGAATTATCAAATCGAGTGCAATTCGTTTAATTGAGTGAATAGCGAAGAATATCTGCCATTATACGATGGGGGTTTCTGTTTGTGCCCTCTCCCCTGGTTATCTCCCACGACTGCAATAAAATGTAGCGACATAATGAGAGACAATATAAACAACAAAATACAATTTAAAGCAGTGAATCGCCAGGCCCCCAAAACAAAGAGATTATAATAGGTTCAGAACGCTTCTCTCCATATTTCCTTATAAAGCTTCCAATGCGAACTAAGAAAATGGTTTTTTTTTAATTCGTGTGATCTGAATGTGGACGAAGTGAAATATTTAAGATTATTTTAAAAATTGGCAATTTAAATATATATTTAAAATTAAAAGAGCATATCTAAATCAATGCAAGAAGAAAAACCGACCTGTAATTTAGGAAAGATGGTAAAAATAATAAATAAATATGACAAAAAAACAATAAGGAACCATTTTTTTTTGTATGAATTGTGCTATTGGAACATTAATTTTAAAAGCATATTATCAAAATTATCCATTTAGAATAACATCGTTCGCCCTGGACCAAAATCAAAGAATCTGTGTCAGCTAATCAAACTAAAAAGAAATCTGTCAGAAACAGTGATTGGAGCTATCATTTCGATTTAAGTAATGGCCGAGGAAGACAAAGTTCAAGAATACGATCATCGCATTCTCAGTGATTGGTCCAACGTTAACAGCACGAATGGAACCATGAACTATTCCGAGGATATGGTATTCAACGACGGCCACCGCTTGTCCATCACAGTATACAGGTGAGTGAAACACCAGTCAAAAAACACCCATCCGCTTCATAACCTAATCAGAGTCCAGATCACCTCCCACGATTTCATTTGCATTTTATTCACATTTTCTAGTCATATTGATAAGCTTTGGCTTTTACTATCTGTAACCTTTTCTCAGTCTAAGCTTTGTCAATTTATGTGCCGGTGTGGGTGTCGCTGCTTGATTCTGAATAATGCCGCTCGTTTTTGTTTTGTGAACAGGTATAAATCATGCTGGGACTCAGCATCTCTGGCTCATCCTTCTCTGCTCTCTGTCTGGCTATCTGTCTGAGATTCAATTGGAATTTGAACGTTACAGTTCACCATAGGGTTCACTTTTTAGGAATGCCAGAGATTCACTTGATCGATTAAGAGTGAATCCCACAGTTATTCAGAGCGTAGAGATTGTTTTAGAACATCTTTGGGTTTTCAAATGATTATTTATTTTTGTTTTACTTTTTGTTTATTTATTTTAATTGTTTTCCATTTTTTTTCAAGTCTAGTATGCATCACAGGTATAGGCAATTTGTGTTATAAAATAGTAAAAAGACTGCATATATGTTTTTTATCTATCTTTTACGTGAACTTTAAGTTACTTAGGAAAAACAAAATATACAACCAGAAAGCCATCTTTGGAAATCCCCTTTGCAGTTTGTAATTAATTGTATGCCAACTTAATCCGCTAACTATCAATAAATATATTTCTTCATTTTGGTTGTAAATTATATGCTTTTGGCATTTCTTGTAGGTAATGTACACATTTCACTCGAATCCCTCCGATTGTCTACAACCGATATAAAACTCACTTACTCCATTCGTCCATCAAGTTGGCCACTCCTAACTGCCATTCTTTGACCCACTTATTGAGCAACTGGCACCCACGCACAAACACCCACCGAGGGGAAAACTTCTTTAATTTCCCACTCACCATTTTAATATCTGCCGAGCCCTCCCACCTTTGCCTTCTTTAACCGCCTCAAATGGTCTTCCATTCGGCTCAGCATACTGTTTGTGATCTCAACAATTGGCAACTGCACCGTGCTCTATCTGCTGACCAAGCGGCGACTGCGGGGTCCCTTGCGGATTGATATCATGCTAATGCATCTGGCCATCGCCGATCTAATGGTGACGTTCCTCCTGATGCCAATGGAGATCGTGTGGGCCTGGACGGTGCAGTGGCTCTCCAACGATCTGATGTGCCGCCTCATGAGCTTCTTTCGCGTCTTCGGCCTGTACTTGTCCAGCAACGTGATGGTCTGCATATCGCTCGACAGGTGAGTCCCAGTCCTGGTGAACGCCAGCCACTGTCGCATCGCCGTTGAGTGTCGCTAATGGACCTAATTGATAGCTAGATAAGGCGGCTCAATGTGTCAATCCCGCCTAGCTTTCTCACCCCTTGCTACTACTCTCTCTGTCAGATACTATGCCATACTGAAGCCTCTGCAGCGCTCCTATAACCGCGGACGCGTCATGCTGGCCTGCGCCTGGCTGGGATCTGTTGTCTGCAGTATTCCTCAGGTGAGTCCACTGGGTAGTGGAAAGTCAACGTTAAATTAACTATAAATATTAGTATAAATATAATATTTCCCCCGTTTTGTTAGGCCTTTCTGTTCCATTTGGAGGAGCATCCAGTGGTTAAGGGCTACTTTCAGTGCGTCATATTCCACTCTTTCAAGAGTGAGTTTGACGAAAAGCTCTATCAGATCGCCTCGATGTGCGGGATGTATGCCTTTCCCCTGATTGTTTTCATCTATTGCTACGGCGCCATTTACCTGGAGATCTACCGGAAGAGCCAGCGAGTGCTTAAGGATGTGATTGCAGAGCGATTCAGGCGCTCCAATGATGATGTCCTAAGCAGGGCCAAAAAGCGCACTCTCAAGATGACGATCTCGATTGTGATCGTATTCATAGTCTGCTGGACTCCCTACTACACCATTTGCATTTGGTACTGGCTGGACAAGCCCTCGGTGGAGAAGGTCAATCCGCTGGTGCGCAAAGCACTCTTGATCTTTGCCTCAACGAACTCCTGCATGAATCCTTTGGTCTACGGCCTCTATAACATACGCGGCAGAATGAACAATAACAATCCGGTAACTACTACCTTAATGAAAGTTAAATAGACCCAATCTCATTCGCTTTCCCTTTTATCTTGCAGTCCGTGAACAACCGGCACACATCGCTGTCGAATCGCCTGGACTCATCCAATCAGCTCATGCAGAAGCAGCTGACGAACAACTCGCTAATCAACAACGGTCATGGCCAAGTGATGGCCGCAGCCGTGGCTGCCACCACAAAGTTGGCCCATGTCGTGGGTCTGAAGAGCTCCGCCAATTCGAACGGATCGGCTGCAGCGGTGGGCATAGTGGTGTCCCTCCCACCGCCGTCCCCAATGACAGTGGCCATTGCGCCGCTGGCCAGCGACGGCGAGACCAACGATGACTCGAGCCTCAGTGTGGTCACCATCAGATGTCAGGAGCAGCCCAGGTTCTGCCAGAAGTAATTTCGGTCTCTACACCCTTTCCTTTCCTATCTCGCTGCTTTTACCATACTCATCCGCATCCTCATCTTTATGCTTAATAGCTTACAGCCTCTCATGTGAGCTTTTTGTTTTCAATTTTCGCACAGTTGTCGGCATAAAATAAAGGGGTTTATGTTGTGGTCTAAATGCTCATCCTTTCAGAAGGACCAGAAAAGTAGACAATGGGGGATTCTTAATAATTATTTTTTTGTCAAGAAAGGTAGCTTTACATACCCTTGAAAGTCTATGATAGTCACAAAAGTTTAAAGCTGAATATCTAGGATATCAGATTATCTAAAGATTAATGAAACAAGGTCTTATTTACGAACTCTGCTGCTTATGCAACAGCCATAAAAACTCTATCACCTGGCAGACCTGCTTTTAAGATCAATCCAGACCAAACCTAAGTTTATTTAGGTTAATGCAGGCTTACATCACCTACATTCATGGGCATCATCTCACCCACAAGTGAAGCACTCCAAAAGCCATTTCCCAGACGCACTCCATTTTATGTCAACTCATCTCATCACCCCAACGAGAGCCAAGTCTAAGTGTATATACTTTCAGCTGTGGCGACTCCATCGAAATGACCAGTGTGGTTAAGTAAACAATAGCCAAGAGGGCTCCAACAGCAACTGGATCAATTAAGCGATCTGCTACTGTTCATCTGGAGGTGTCGGCTTGGAACAAAGGGCGTCTAATTTGCTAACCAGCTTTGTTTGGGATTTTCATCATAAATTCTTTTGGCATTTGCATTTAGCTAACGACAAATTAAAATGTTTTCAAGACAACGAACACGGTGCCCAGGTCAGATCAAAATTCCGAATCCAAATAGCTTTGGTTTAGGCTTGGTTTGTTTGGAAAACAAAGTTATTGCTAAGGAAATACGCTTAAGTCGTAATACCGCTTACTATTAGATATACTCCGGTTAGTTGAAATATTGCTTAATTTAAAATAATTTATTCATAGCAACGAAATAAAACAAAACCATATCGAAATAAATATATGTAAAATATTATAGAAAATAGTAAACACGAGCATTTGGAATTCTTATTTGGGTCGTTGATTCTCTTCCTCCTGATGTAAATATTGGTTTATATTTGATTTGGAGGTTTTGTTAAGACAGCGTTAATCATTTATGGCCCTAGCCCTGCGTTATACGTTAATTATAGTTATAGACTCGTGCGGATTAACTGACTGTTTAATAGATATGTTTTGAATAATTTATATTGAATCTAAACGAAACCAGTTTTATTTTTGGAATAAGATATAGTGGATTGGCCTTTAACAACATTTAACTATATAATACAGTAGCAGATGTTACCATATGCTCTATTTTCTTCTCCTTTTCCCAGGAAGCTTGACCAACTTTCCTCTCTCTCTGTCTCTCTTGGCCAATTACTGCCAACTAGCCAATATCCCACCCACGCTCGCACAAAGCCCAGGTGGAAGACATCTGGTCTATTCGCTGTCATTAGCCAGGTAACCCAATTAAGCGGCTAAGACATAAAATGACAATATTTCTTAGCACAACTGAATGCCCATTTCCCCCTTATCCGACGAGTACTGTGTTAGAAAGTGGCTCACTCTCGTTACACTGAACAACAAAGTCACGTTCCCTGGGAAAACACTCAGCAGCGGACATAAAAAGACGGAAGAATGCGTGTAATCGAATCTTCAAGACCGAAAAATAAACATGTTAATAATACAATTTTATGATTAATACGAAATGAGCTGCGGCGCGGGAAAGGTAGGGATGCGATGGGATTGGACAGAGGAGATGATGTTGCTGTTGTGTTGTGCCTTTGCTGTTGCAGCGCCATCGAAAAGTGCGTGGGCCGTTTTTACCTCGCATCCACTGAAGATGCCGGGAACAGCAGCGAATGCTGTGGAGGATGCTGCTGCGATGCTTCGGATGATGGGGGAGCGGAGGAGGCTGGGGAGCTTATTTATAAATCACGCACATAATGAAATTTCAGCAAGTGGTCGCCGCTGTCCGAAAAGCGGCAAAATATGCAGCGCTGATGTGGGATAGCATCTCGGGTGTGTCCGAGCCCCGGTGATATATGCACATCTGCATAATGCTGCTGGAGCGAAACTGTCCGCTGACATGCCGGCGACATAATGACGAACAGGTCGCGGCAGTGTCGCACTCCACTCCAATCCTCCAACTCCAACTCCTCCCCAAAAACACTAGATATTGTCGTGTTACGCATCAGTCCCGTGTCAGCCAAAAGGGAAGGAGGCCACCGAAATAGGGGACACTTGTACTGCATAAGTAGCCATTAATAGGTGCCATATGCATATCATTTTGGGGTCTAGTTTTTACGAGTCGTTCGGTTGTTTTAAATGCCTGCAGAGCGTGCCGTTTATTTACGATCCTCTCATTTCAAAAGATTGTCTGCCGGCCCCGTCTCCGGAGTCCGGACCGATTTTAGGATCACGATGATGACGGGGATGCTGTGGAGGAGGTCTGGAAACAAGGCTGGACGCATTAACGAAAAAAGGGTTCACATGAATTCGATTTAATGGCCCCAACGAGGGCTACAATGTAAGAATGTTTTGGAATTGAATTTCCGCATAATGGCTCAAAACAAAGTGGATATAGGGCCACTCGCTCCCATGATCTTTAAGAAGCAAATTATCCGTGAATGAACGCAGGGGTGAAGGAAGTAATATAATATTATGTTATAACCATATTAAAAATACTCTATATCCGTAACAAAAAAAAATGTTCGAAGCCTGGAAATTCATTATAATGTTCATCCTTGAATGGTATCAAGCCAAATTTCGTCTTATAAAAACAGATTGCTTGACTCAAAAGGGCTTTTTTTGCAGACCATAGAAAAGCGGGTCATCAAATCATTGCCTACTTTAAGGCAGTGTCCTCTTGCGGGTCAATGATGTAGGAAACTAATTGAACATCGCATTGTTCGGGATATTCAGTTGCTTTTTACAGTTTGTATTCTACAAGTCCCACTTCCTCGTTTAATTTCCGGAATTACCAAAGCTTTCCGCCATCGATCTGGCCACTCTATCGGCGCTGTTTACGCAAATTTTGCACGTGGGCGTCTCGGCTTACTCACGCGTCAAAAGAAACACAAACGAAGACAAAACGCGCTCTGCTGCTGCGGCGTTGCTTTTCTCCAGGTAACAACAACAACGGGCAACCAGTCAACAGCTGAGAACAAAACAAACTGCAATCAAGGCAACAACAAGTTGTTGCTGCCTCCGTCGCACAGTGGGGATATTTGGGGGTTTCTCGTTGTAAAATTTATAACTTGTGAACGAAGAAAGTTAACAGAGAAATTTAACTGAGATATAGATAATTAAAAAATAGTTTTGGAGATACAAATATAAATATATAATATAAATAAAATATACAAAATATGTTTTAGCTTTTAAAAATGTACAATAGTACATAAAGGTTTTTTATACCCTTGCAGGGTATTATAATTTCAGTCAGAAGTTTGCAACGCAGTGAAGGAGACGTTTCCGACCATATAAAGTATATATATTCTTGATCAGCATCAACAGGGGAATCTTTCTAGACATGTCAGGAAGAAATAGATTTTTTGGCCATTTTTGCAAAATTTTATAAGGGGTTACATCATTAAAATTTTTGATTTTCATAAAAAATTGAATTTTCAAATTTTTTAAATGAAGTATGCAGATTTATTCACTGTAGAAAATCTTGCACAGAACAGTTTTCAGATTTAAAATTAATGCTCTTTTGGCAGAGTTATGATATTTTTAATTTAAGAAAAAATCAAGAAGTTTTTTAATATAAAAAATATTCTTGATCAGCATTAACATGCGAATTTTTCTAGACATGTTCGGAAGAAATCGATTTTTTGGCCATTTTTGTGAAATTTGAGGGGTTAAGGGGTTACATCATTAAAATTAGCAAAAATGGCCAAAAATTTTGATTTCTTAAAATTTTAAATTTGGTATGCAGTTTTTTTAAATTAATAAAAACTAACACAAAACTACTTTCCGAATCGAAATGAATGCATTTTTGGCTTAGTTCTGATATATTTTAATTGTTACCTGCAAGGGTATACAAACTTTGACTGGTCAAAGTTAGTTTTCTTTCTTGTTTTTTATTAATCTTAGTTTAAACAAAGTTTATTAAAAATAATCCGTTATTGTATTTAATATAATGTTTATTAATTTATTATTCTAGCTTAGACCGATGAAAATTAATTTCCTAAAAAGCAAACTGTCAAATTTTTATTATATATTAATAATAGAAATTTTTAAATTAATTAAAACAAACAAATAAAGAGGATTCATGATCGACTTTTATTTGATTTGACCTGAAATATGGCGTGTTTGCGTGTTTTTTGAAAATCTCAGTTTACTAAAACTTTGTATTTATATTATTTAAACAATTTCCTATATGTGATTTGAAAACATTGCTCGCAATCATGATATTTTGTAATTTTCCAAAGTCTACTCCTCAAGAGACCCCATAGTTCGCCGCTGCTTTGGCCGACTGCGACGCCAGCCGCTCAGCCGCTTCGAGCCAATCGCTCCCTTCGCATTTTCAGTTTCAGTTGGCACGTTGAACAAGACGGTACGTGGATCGGATCAGTCGGCGATCGGATCGAATCAGTGATCAGTGGGATCAGTAGTCAGGTGGCAGATAAATCACGGATATCTCACGGATACGGAACGCTGAATGGGGGGAAATGCGCGCTGCAGTTAGTTGGCCGTGATCTATGGCCGCTTTTAAGTGTGTTTCTCAAATCATTCGGAACCGGTGACAAGATTTCTGACAGCACCCATTCATGCCATGCCTATCTCGGGCAGCATTCAGTGCAGCATCCACCATCCACTGCCAAGGTGTCCGCGATCGCGTCGCGTTTGCGTTCTGGTCGTTAATAGCATAAAAGTGTTTTAATTTTTATTGGCACGAACGGCGAGAGTCAGTTGTTGTGGAGCAGTTGCCGTCGCCGGAGGATCGGATCAGGCGTCGTCGCGTGTTCGCCTCCTCGATCCCATAAAATCAGCTCCCCAAGATCTTCGCGTGTGTCCCCTTTCCACTCAATCCCAATCCGCATCCGTATCCCAATCCCGAACCCAACCCACCTTCGACTTCTCCATTTCCCCCCCTCGCTTCCAATTGTGGTTTATGCTTGTCGCTTGGAGATTTTGAAAAGGGTTTAAATTATCTAATGCATCCGTTTCGTTATCGATTCTTTTAGTGTGAAGAGCCTGCGATTTGTTTGATCTTTCGGTCAGCACATATAATAAAAGTGTCTGTGTGTGTGTGCGTTCAGGAAGCGGCGGAAAGTGTGGAACTACTCGTAAAAATAACTCAGGTCGTTTCCATTCTAATTTGCGCGTTGACAGCCGCAAGTGGCGCAAACAGCCTAAGGAGCCGTACGTCAGTCTCTCCCCCAGAATAATTCACTTAAATCGGTGCAGCAGCCGGCGCACCTCTTGAGGAGCGAGTGGTACGTGCAACGTCCTTGACTAAGAGGTGAGTGTGAAGGTTAGCCCCAGACCTCCAGGCGGAGGCGCTGTGAATATAGTACGTAAGCCTCTGTGTGTGGCCAAAATCTGGGGTAACCTAGAGTCTACTAAAATAAGTGTAAAGTGTAGTCACGGTTGGTTCGTGAGGTTCCTGTCCTGTACTTAAGGAAGCGGGTCGTTTTAAGACATTTTTATTTGCATATTTTACAATTTTAAGGAAGTTTAAGTTCAATTTCCGCAGGAATTGCGCTGTTTAAAATTGAATATAAAATCAAGGAAATAACCACAACACATAAACTCTATGATATTAAACAGTATACCCCTAATTCAGTTTAACTAAAAATTTTTAATTTTAAACTCTATTTTATGCTCCGCTAATCGCCAGCCTTGTTGATAGGCCAATAAATGTATAAATGGTTTTTATATGCGTCTCCTGAGATAACAATTTATATCACCGCCATTTTATATCTGATGATAAATCATGCTAATTGTTGTTGTAATTCAAATACTATCGATACATATTAATTAGCCACACCCAGCAAGACAACCGCAATATCGCTGTCAAAGCGGCCTGTGGCATCCACAGAGGCCGACCGAGCGACCACCGACATTAATCTATTGAAGATCTTTGGGTTTATCTGCTTTGGCGCCGTAAATACCAAAGCCGAGTCATAATTTATTAATTACCGGACTTTCCACACATATTTAAGAAGATTGTCCGATTGCGGTTTATGTTTCTGAGAGAACTATAATTATGTGATCCTATAAGGTCAGCATATACAGAATTGTTTGCTCTGCAAAGCTGAACGGCAGCCACAGTTTGTGAACACCGTTGACCAAATTTGGATGGAGACAGCTTTAGATTCCAAAGGGATTGTTAAATACATTTTGGGATAACATATTTGAGTTTATTTGGCTTGATTCCCCCATCACTTGGCCAGTTTCTACTGGGCTCCACTGCTACTCTATGCCAAGCGATTCAATTAAAAGACGCCCACAGCAGCGATCTCCATAACAATTTATAACTGCCTTTCTAAGATGTCTCACAGACTTGCGGTTATTTTATTATTTGAATATATTACTCAGCGGCAGTGGCGTCTTGGCTTAAAGGGGTATTGGTCTAAATCGTGGCCTTAATTTCCTTTGGGCCTTTAAATTTAATGCGTTATAAACAGGGCTTTAATTGGTTTTCATAGTCAGGTAATGTGAGATTTAAAACAAAGTTGTTTAGAGTTTTTTTAATAAATTATTTGTATAAATATTCTTTTCATCAAATTTCCGTATTGATTTGTGTTTTAGTTATATGATATATTTATTACTAAGGTTTTCGTTTCCTTTGTCACTGCTCGGCCATTTATTTTTACCCCTTGCCTACACAAGTGACTCCTCACACTTGGCAATATCTTTCTCAGCGCGCTCACCATATATAGAGCTGGCGTTTGACATTATTAAAACATAAATAATATTTCTATTGTTGGTATTGGAATTTCCGCTTGGCAGCGAGTTATGGGTTCATAAACAAATGCAAATTAAATGGAAAATTGTTGCAGCAGCAAATTAGCGCATCGTCAGTGGAAAGCCATTCAAATCCAATATATCCGACCTTATGCGGGAAATCGGGCTAACAAATTTTTAATGCTTTGTATTGACTCGTCTTAAATTTGCAATTCAAATTGATCGTCACAATAAAGGCAGCAGCAGAGGCCTTTGTTCGCTGTTTGGACTTGCGGTGTCAAAACTGATTCAGTCCGCGATTGAAGACGGCGACTTCGGTTTAATGGTTAATCAACATAAGTTAATGGGTTTTCGGTTTTGGCCTAATGATAGATTAAACACATTCTCAAACGTTTTGACAAGATCGCCAACATCAAAATAATAAAGCTGAGCCAAAAATCCATCCACTGGCCAGTCACAAAAATATCATTTATAACCTGTTGATTAGATCCATCTGGAGAAGAAGAGAAGAAGATCCTCGCCATTGGTTTCTTTATAATTAGATATTCAGCACTGATATGCAAATTCTGTAAGTCAACGCAAAGACCACTTGGTGTGGTCCCGCAAACACCTGATGCTATTTTATATAATTATATGGCGGCTATATACGCAGCAGCATGTTGTTTATTGAAGTTTATGGCATTATAATATGATTTCGGACAGATTCTAGCTGCTGGCTATTTGTGGCTGTGTAATTTATTCATGATGTATGATTAGCTAAGAAAATACTTAATCAAATACGTTTTTAAAGTGTGTAAAAATGTCTCAAATATGTATTTAATGTTTGGATACACGATTTCTTCGCTTACTCAACTATTACGTTTTCAAATTCCTACATTTAAGGCCACAATTTCCATCATCTTATCAACTCTGATTGAGTAACTTGGCAGGTGGCAATTACCATATCCAAAATCTCCTTTTCCCGAATAATATATAATTGACAGAGCTTTCAGTATTTGGAAATAGGACCATGTACAGCCACTGAATGGTCAACATTTCAAACTGTCCACTGCTGCCTTGTTTCGGTGGGAAATAAGTAGTGAAAAACGTATTGAGAAAACAGCAAGATAAAAAGATTGAGCCAAAGCCGATATTTAAATACAGAAATCAATAAAATGAGGACGTCAAGTGCCGCTCGAGACTATTGAACTCGGTTTGGAGTCCAATCTTAATCTTGACACTTTCACGCACCGTTCGGCCAGGCCTCGCCGGAAGTCATACAAAGTCTATTATGAAGAAACCAATTTATCAGGCTGCACCGAATCAATGCAGTTCGGAGCTCAGTCCAATTATAATGTGCCTGGATATATAGTTAAACAAAGCCAGAAGAAAGTCAGCTGCAAATGAAAATCCGCAGAAGAATTTCCCTAAGTGGCTTAGCCGGGGCCCCGCTGCCCCTCTGCTCCCCCTTTCTTGCCGCTCGTGATGCGTAGGCGCCGTCATAGATTTTTTCCATGTCAAACCAGCAACTGACAGCAGGTTTTCCAGCGATTCCCCGAGCTCTACGGCTCGAACTGAAGCCGAACCGAAGTTTTCGGCTGAGCATTTAAGCGCGGCTGATTTGATTTCAGTGACACGACGCTTGCGGCGACGATGGACGCGAAACTTGTCCTGCCCACACGCGACTTCACTCCAACTGAGACCAAGACGGCGACTGTGACTGCGACTGCGACTGCGACTGCGAAGTCAGCTTTAGCGGTGTGAGCAGTGTGAACAGTCGCGCATGCGCAGAAGCTGGCCGGGCGTTTTCTTTTCGTTTTAATTTTTGCGCCGCTTTAAACGCCCGAGGGGACAAGGCTGTGGATGTGGATGTGGTTGCATGCTGGCTCCGACCGGCAAAAAAAATCAAAATATTTGAATTTCTAATGCCATCCGAGGGCCGATACAAGAGTGTATCAGTGAATCATCGTTATTAAGGAGAGGATACTCAAAGCTAATTGAGTTGCTCACCTTGTTGTCTTTGATTAGATAAACCACATGAGTTGTTCATTTAATAGAGTTTGTCCTGTGGTTCTGGATTCTTTTTTTAATTAAATTCGATTTACCTTTTATCTTCGATAAGCCTTTTATTTGATTTTGGAAGACATTTTGTCCAAAAGTTTTACAAAAACATTACCAGTGAAACTTGATGTTAAAGAGTCGGTAGAAATGGTTCGATATCGCTCTTTCAAGATTGCAAAAACAAATCGTGAGTGTTTTTTGAACAATTATTCTCGTATTCGTACATTTCTATTCAAGCTTTTTTGTTTTACTTCATTAGCACTGAAAATTATTCAAATTTTTATTCAAATCCCACCTCAGTCCAAAGCTTTCATATCCCCAGAACAGCCCTCGCCAGCCAGGGTTCTCGTTTCCCTTCCACTGTCCTCGGGCTAGCCATTCAATCTGATGAAAATGACTTTTCCGATAAGCATCAAATTTCCTTTGATGATAGTCCAGCAACGCCTTTGTCACCGCCGTGACAGTCGTCACGCTAAACCCGTTCGATCGGCTTGAGTCTAACCCGGCAGGGGTCTAAAACCCGGCTAGTGGGTGAAGATCTCATCTGGAAGGGGATACCCGATAGCATCCCTTCGCAGTTGCGGTGACTATGATGCTGCGGCTTCCGTGTGCTTTTGCTTTTGCTTAATTAAATGTCAATCAATGTACTCATCGCTTTATGGAGACGGACTTTGTGTCTGATTTGTCCGCTTTATTAAGTAGATGTGGCGTCGTCTTCATGAAGCTGCCGGCTGCTGCCGTTGTTTTTTGTGGTTGTCACTCTGGCGTCTCCATGACGAGATTCTCTGCCAGAGGCCTCGGTTAGTCGGTTGCGTGGGCGCTGGCAGAGATATATGCCCGGCCTATGCATGATCTATACCGAACCGATGGCATTAAAAAGTATTTAATAAATTTCGGGGGACCGAGGATTATGTGTACATTTGGAAGGTGTTTCCACTTCTGGTTTCGTCTCTGTTTTTTATGTTCTGGGGCGGATTACCTGGTTGACATTTTGTGGGAAAAGTTCTGGTAGCCGCGGAGCCATCTTAACTGGCTATTAATAAACGTTTCAATGAACACTTGGCACAGATCTCAGGCATTATGCTTGGGTTAAGTTCTTGGTAACCTTTCACGGAATTTGAAACGATTGAATAGCTCGGAAGACCTTAAGCCTTGGAAACTTATAGGTAATGATCGGGCCTAGATGGGATTGCTTTCATATAAGCTATAGTCTTATGGGAACAGGAGATGTAAATTGAAAAGTATATGCAGTATTTTTCAATTGAAAAATTGTTGATTTTATTTCTTATAACGTGATTAAGTGAGGGATTTACTTGGAACTCTCTTGGATATATTGTCACTAATATTCCTTAAAGTCAATACAGCTACCTTCCAGGTAGTAAAGTTCTCAATGGCCTTGATCCCTCCCATAGACTGGGCAAATAAAACCCCTAAAATATTCTCAAATGCTCTTAGCTCGCAAGTGCCTGCTAGTTTAACTTTTCAGAGGAGGAGACCCACTAGAAACTGGGCTGCTCGAGCTCCGGTAATTGCGATTGCGCCCATAAATGGAACAGATCCTACGGCCCCGTCCATCCACTCAGTGACTCAGTGACATTGTAGCCAAGAGAACGAGAAGCCAGCAACGCCAATGACAACTGCCACTATAAATCCATAACTGTCAGTCAACATTTTGGACCAGTATCGGAGAAGGAGAGGAGTTGTCGTCGTGTATAGTATGGCCATAACGACATTTGCTTTTGGCTCTGACTCTGAACCTCTCGGAGTCTCGGCATCGGAGCCACCGTTACCACATTCCTGGGACACCTTTAAGCCAGAGCTGAGCCGAGCAGAGCATCTCGGCCACATTTCTTGTGTTTATTTAAGCACGAAAGTTGTGTAATGGCCGGGAGATGGGATCGAACAAGGTCTGGAGGAAGGTGGCTCTACCCATTTGATTTGTTTGTTATGCAGTTTACAACACTTGTTGGCGTTTTTGTGGCTCTCAAGTGATGAGCCAAATGCCTAATTGCAACTGGGTATATTTTTGTGAGGCGGAAAGGGATCTCCACTTTGTTTTATGACTCCCACTCGCTTAATGCCAATCAGTAGGTACTTATTACAAGCTAGATCTTTCTACATTTTATTTTATTTCATTGATCGTTAAAGTTGCGTCTAAGGTAATTTATGATCACTCCACTGCAGTGGAAGTTCTTCTCCCTTCGCTTCCGAGATTTATGTAAGTTAGATCAAAAGTTTGGTGTAAGACGACTGATGATGCTTTGTAGGAAAAGCAGATGGCCAAAAAAGGCAGAGCAGTGGAGTTGTTAAGACATTGCATAAGTTAAAATCACTCTAGTAATTTAATTAGACCAACTCGTTTCTGGTTGTTCATATTTTTCCTAATCTCGCCTAGATATTCCAGGAAACTGTTTGAGAAAATATGCAGTCCCTTAGTTCATCATCTAGCGCCGTGCTCCCATCAACCTTTCCGCGGAACTTCCTCTGGGGGCAGCACCTGAAAATACACCTAGTCAAAAACAAAGCTGAACACACGCACATTAAATAAACATTTATTTAAGTTTTAGAAAAAGAGGCTGGCAGGAAAGAATGATTGCAAAAATCCGACATAAATCTCCACAATGGGCCCCCAAAAAAATTACAAGAAGAAATATAAAACTTAAGCTCCGAAATGCTTTATTGTGATGACGCCCACAGATGGGCCAACGAGATGAAAGACAAAGAATGGGGGGATCGGGATGCAGACAAATATTTTTATATAGATACATCTAGGTGATACCCGACCAAATACTTCCGGCCAGGAGAACGGCAACGCTTGTTAGAAATTTAAAAAATGCAAAATATTTATCAATCTCTTTTAATTCTTTTCTCGCTACACAAAATTTAATTTGAATTTTATTTATTGTTTTATGCGATTTTATTTTATGCCCCGCCACGCAACGCATTTAACCGTGCGTTTTATTTTTAAACATAAATAAACAACCACCGGCTGAGGAGCTAGCTCTGATTTTCCCGCTTTATCGTCTCTGTTTTCTGTTATTTATATTGCAGTTGGACGGAGGAGACACACTCGGAAGACGGCGGCCACGACGACCACGATGATTTGGACGCGCGTGCTGCTCGTGGGGCTGACCGCCTTGGCGCTGACATTCGTGGAGGTTGCATCACTCTCACTCGATCCAGGTAGGTGCAGTGCAGATGCACTGGGAAATAGTAAATTTTGGTTTAGGAGAATCCAGTGGGGGTTTTGACTTAATAAGAAGATCATTTCTGCTTTATAAAATCGATTGTAATTTGCAAAGACTATGCTTAAATTAAGATCATTTTTAAACATTTTATTATTAGAGAGAATAAATATATTAAACTTAATCTATTAAAATATTTTTGCAGTGTAAATCAATACCAATATTTTCACATTTTTTTATGGCTCAACATGCGAATGTCTGCAACGTCAATGTTTGCCGATAAACGCCCAAATGGCAAACTTTTGGTCACCAACTAGCGCCGTTTTATGTAAATTTCGAACTGAATCCCAATGCAAACGTCGCCGCCTGACAGTTGGGCTCGTTTTCTGCTGAGTTGCTGACCTCCCACTCCGTAGATGGCGTTACTGCAGCGCGATCACGAGCACAAGGCTTGGGATTCCATGTCCATGTCCATGTCGTGAAGGTCATCGGGGCTTGAGCCTGTCAGAAGTTGGTCGCAGCATGACAAATAACCGCGCAAATGCGTGAAATTCTATATGGAGTCGTCGTCTTGACGGATTCCTTGGTCTGGGCAAATACGATTGCGTCTCAAGCATTTATTTTGGGTTAACACGATCCGCTATATTAGAGGCAAAGTCTCGCGGTGACCAAAATAAACAGTTCCATGTTCCGCGCCCGAAGTGCTGTAATCTCTGGCAGGCGCAAAACCGATTGCCAATGTTTGTGGATAAATAGAGCAAGTGGCTGAGACGGAGAAAGAGAGATTAACAAACATGTGGTTTGGCCACCTCAGTGCTTTATCTTTGTTTGTATTTAGTTGTTTGTTGATTTGGTAATCAATATGTTTGGATATCGCAGAACGGAAGTTCTTCTTGAGGGTTTCGTAACTGATCTTCAAAAACATAACGAGATAAGGCACGGAACTGAGATTTCCCTCTTTCCTTTAAATAATGATAGGAGTAAAAAAGAATATAACTTTAATAGCAGGTTGATTCTAATAAAACGATTAAGTAAATGCAGATTAAATTCCTTTACTTTATCATTTATAATTCATAAATTTTAGTTGCCTCTGCGGAACTGGAACAGTTTATACGAAAGGGGGATGTGGTCATATCCACCCGTCACATAAGGTAAGCAGACTTTAAGAACCATAGGGAGCTTCTTAATAACATTCTTGCCACCACATAGACCTCGCCGCAAGCTGCACATATCCATTGAGGCCCTCTTTATGATCGACTTCCCTATGCTGAAGCACAAGATGTCCTTCTTCCTGGACCGCAAACAGCAGCGGGTCACGCTGGACATTAGTGCTAATGGGGCCACCGAGTCGAGGAACTTTGAGATACCCAACATTAACGAGACGAGCACCATTCGCTCCCTGGCCCTGCAGTTCTCCAAGAACAGGATAACACTCCACGTGGACTGTAAGCCGAGCACGCATCACGACATCGACATGAACCTGGCCAAGCTGTATACTCAGATGGATGATCCGGTGATCAAGCTGGTGAGTGACAGAGATCCCTACTGTCCCACTGGGGGATAAAAAGTTTTCTATTTCCTTGGCAGTTTCGGGAGCGCAAATATCCGTTGCACTTCGATGGCGACATGGAGCACTCCCTGCAGCGAGCCAACTGCCAGAAGGGCTATCATAGACGTGGCAATCGCCGCATGCTGCGCAACAAGATCACAGAACGAGGTAAGTTATGCAAGACTTTTAAGAACTTCATTTCCAATTTCTTAAAGAAATCTCTTCAGCCAATTTCTTATAATTTAGGGATATATTTTAAAATAAAATTTCTCTCTCTTTTCAACTATTTTAGAGAAGAACAAGAAGCGCGATGTCCGCGGCTGGTATGAACCGACCATTGCCCGGGAAGGAGTCGTCGACCACAGAAACCAGGAGGTGCCCACGAACGTAGAGCGTGGCGATATCCCCGTGCTGCATGGCGACTGCGAAGGTAGGTTGCCCAACATTCATTTCATCCACCCATCACGCCCAGTGGTGGATCAACTCCCCACGGTAGTCTGAAGGCAGTCAAGGAATCTCGGCCCAAAGGCGTGGCCCCTTCCTACGGCTCTGGGATTAGATGTTCGCTCTGATGAAATTATTTGGCTTTTGTCAGTTGGCGTTTATGTCAACGGAGGAGCATAGGTGATTCAATTAGGCAAATGTGGTAGAACAGCCCAAGTCGGTGTAGAAGCGTGGGCAGGGGAACTGATTCGGGGGATTGCTGCATCGAGTGGGGGCTTGAAAATTTCAATGGCATGTGCAAGTGAATGAACGAGGCCTTGAAAACGAGAGAAGGCATTCGGAAAGTGCAGCCAGAAAATTGTGAATGTTTAAAGCGTAAAATATAGGTAATTCATTACATAAACAATAATAATTCGTAGGAATTTAAACCAATCCCCAACAGAATGAATTGTTTTGACTTGGCTAAAAATATACGGCCCAAAATGACACAATTGTTGACGTTGATTGATAACTTACGAGTGCCATTTATAAGTCAACTGATTTATGTGGGTTTCTAGACTTAAAAGGCAACTAACTTATGGATCAAATGGTGTAGAAGTACCTAATGGTTCTGAAATGGTTTAAGAACTCTGCATAAGAATAATCAACCAGGTTAATAACCTTGTAATCCTATTGCCCTGAACTTGATCCGGTTGCCAAAGCTGTAAACTATCTTCACTTAACCCGCTAATACCTTATAAATCTGGCAAGCGATTATTAATGAGGCAAACGCACATCCGCTGCTGTGTGATATAGCCATAAGTACCCTCATCGAAGTCACCATCTTGGCCAATAAGTCGCCGCTAAGTGATCGGTAGGGGGAGAGGCGCCCACAGAGAGCGACAACACTAATGAACGCCGAGATATGACAAAGCCCCGTGCATAGGTTGTGCACTCGCTTTAAACTACAAACAGACTCGTACATTGGCACCTGGAGTCGAGTCGGCATAATTATTATTTATCTGGCTCAGAGCAAAGACACCAAATTGGTAGCCGTAGCCCGCTCTGATCTGTACCCACACAATCTACTCAGCGGGCATAAAGACTCTAGGCTACACCACGAAAATGGCACAAGTTTCTTTTGAGAAATAAAGGAAATTTAAAGAAATTATCAAGCTTTGAGTTATAAATTTTTTTTAACAAAGATAGTTAGTTGCTCTAAATGATCAATCAATGACAATATTACAATAAGATGCGTAACTTCCACGTATTTAATTTTCCATGTCCTATCTTATATCTTATTGTTTACAAGTATATCATCTTTCTTTTTTAGTAAAGTTATTTTTAAAAAAAAAATTTCAAATTCTCATGAAGTATAACTATAGTTATTCCCAGTGTACTTGACTTGAGTACAGACCGGCATGTATAAATCGCAAAGGCAAAGGCAACGACAACGGCAATCGTAATGAATGAATTACGTGGCCAGGCCGCCGACGAACCAGATAGAAGCGAAGGTTGCCGAATGTGGCCAAACCAAAACGAGATCGAGATCACTGGCGGGGCGGGGTTAGGATGTGGTGGGGCTCGGTCGGACTCGGAACGGATGCGTTTGGGCGTTAAGGCGGCGGCGTTTCAGTGTTGACAAAACTCACTCAGGCAGTCAGCCAGGTAAACCGACAGAGTCGTACAGATGTGCATATGGATGGAGCGGACCACTCCGTTGAACTAGTTTAGTTGTTGCCATGTGTCTTACACGATGTCATACAACTTAAGCGGCCTAGAGATGACAGATCCATAAGCGATATATTGCAATTTGTGGACTTTTCTAGGATTCCCCGCATTACAAATTGAGTTGGCTTTAATTTTGCCCAGAAGCAGTCTCTTTGGGATACCTGTTTACAGTTCTGGTTATGGTAAAGACTTTATAGTCTTAAAATAAATTAAAAAAATATATTTTAATTAGAAACAATATTATTTTCCGTTTGTAGATTATATAGATTTAGAAAGAAATCAGTTATGAGTTTATCAAGGGGTACTTCCCACACATATCACGATAATTTCCGATAGTTCCTGTGTCAAAGTCTTGACGAGGTTAGTCACTTGGATATCTCATCAGTAGAGTTTCCTGGCTTATGGCATAAATTAATGCAAGTGTGATTCAATCCACTTACCAATCCGAAAGATACCCACACACAACGTGCACAACTTAGGGCCTGGATTATTCAAGTTTCACCAATTAATCAGCACACTGACTCATCTCTAGAGGGAGACCAGGATTTGGTGCTCCGCTTTGTTGTCCCATTGCATTAAGCTGCACTAAAGCCCCGATCGCATTAGCAGCTGTTCAAAGTCCCGACGGAAGGAAGGAGTTCGCTGGAGCGACAAAGCGGATTAGGCTGCAATCAGAGACCTTCTGGTCCACACTCCGGCTGGGATCTGCGAGTGCGAGTGCGATTTTGCATCGGTTAGACCTTAATCTTGTCAGACGCTGAACGCTTCCCACACACATACACACACCTTTTGAGGGAGGGTGTTCCTGAATTATCGTTGCTTTATTTAAGTCCCCAACTCAACTGTTACTTTACCCTGATCTCTGTTCCAACCCGCTCATTGTTCCAAACAGACGCCCTCGCACGCTCGCTGAGCGATTTACTGGCTCTGGTGAAGCTGCTCCGCGAAGACGTCGCCCACCAGCGCCAGGAGATTGCCTACCTGCGGATGCTCTTGGAGAACTGTGCCGGCTGCAAGAATCCCCTCAGCGGAGACAACCAATTGCGCCTCGAGCCCGACTGCCGTTCGGCAAATCCCTGTTATCCAGGTGAGTAGTGCGTTTACGCAAAATGTAAACTTTTCATTTTAGTGGCTTAAAAAAACATTAAAAGCTTTTCTCTAGTACAAAGATGGGCCCTTATTTTTAGAAACTATCTTAAAGAAGACTCTAAATATAATATTTTTTATGTAATTTAACCAAATACTACAAAGACTTATTCTTATTAGTCTAAGCCCAAAAATTATAAGATATGATTAAGATCCTTTAGAACATATAATATTTTGCAGGTGATAATAAAATGCAATTATAAATTATAGTTAGGGCTTTAAAATAAAACAATTCCTACATATAACCTAATATTTTCTTGCAGGAGTGGAGTGCCTGGACTCGGCATCTGGACCCAGATGTGGCCATTGTCCTCTTGGCTTTATTGGCGATGGCAAGACCTGCAAGCCGGGCGTCACCTGCGCCCACCTCGTGTGCTATCCGTAAGTCCATCCTTATGTTCATCCTTATGTGTTGTCCGTGAGCGTGTGTGTGCGGAATTAGCGCGGCTCATGGGGACTTTAATGGCGTCAAGGGCGTGGCCACCGCATCCATGTTAATTGTATTTGTCATGCTGCGACTCCGAGGGCTTGAAAAGCGCCGGCATCCGAACGCCTCTGACTGTGCAATTATTTGCATTTTGCATTTTGCGACTTGCGTTTGGCCTTAATGGCAATTTGATGTTGTTTATGGTTTGATGATCTAGGCAAACAGGCAACTCCTTGACAGTCCAGCAGTGTCGCTATCCTCATCTGTGTGTCTCTGTTCCTGTCTATATATCTCTGTGATTGATAAGCACGTGATGGCCATTGAGAAGACACATTTAGGCCTTTATTTGCTGGATGAATTCTACGAATAAATGGGAGCAGGGAGAGACCGTGGACTTAAGCTGGTTACACAGAACCGCGTAAGTGGATTGGGCTTAATGGCTGCGAGTCATGTGAGTGATTCTAGGACCGGTTCTCTCACCTCAGCCCATCCGATAAGCTCCATCGATCGCAGATATGTCAATTTGAATGCGAAGTCTTCCTAATCCCTTGTCACACCGAAAGTTTTCCATTTTTTACGTTTATGCCTTATCTAAGCCGCATCGCCAAGTCGGGCTAAGATAGTTTAGGCCGTTGAAGTCGAAAGATAAATATTCAAATGATCCATAAGAGGGGGCTTTATCTGCCAAACGATCTCTTTGATCTGAAGTATTGGGATTCATAATCCAGTCACCTGCCGACATAATATAACCATCATATCTGCGGCTCTCACAAGGAAAGTCTTTCTCCAAAAAGACATCAGGAACCACCCACAGCCCCGATGGCCAGCCGGAAGAGCTCATGAACACAGTCGGAAATCAATAAAGAACCCAGTGAGGATTGTTCTGGCCCCGATCTCCGGTATCGCGCCGCTGCCAAATTTGTGTCGAATCCAACTAATTATGCAAAAGACCCACAGCACTGCTGGGGACTCTAATAAAAACATTATTTCGGGCACAGGCGCATGTCATAAATATGTTAAACAAAACTATAACAAGTTATGCGATGTAACGGAGCTGGAGTTGGGTAGAATACACTGAAGGCATTGTCCGACAAAATGCAACAAAACCTTTGGCAATACGGAACGTTAAGCTGTGCGGCCTGGACCACAAATGGCACTTGAAACAGCCGCATAAATTAGTTAAATGTGAGCTGGAATAGAGAACCCGCACACCCAGTTTAGAGCTCGGGTTCGACAGAACTCCCAACTCCCGGGCTCCCAAGAAGCCCAACTTCTGACTGACTTCATTGTGTCAGAAGGTCCAAAGTGATTTTGGACTAGGAGAAACCAGGGAAACGCGAGAGGCGAGCGCCTGTTCGGCATAGGAAGCCCTCCTCCGGGCCATAAATTTGTGTAAATTATTGAGAAGAGCCCGAATGCCGGCCAAGAACCGATGTGTGGTGTAGGTGTCTAGGGATCGCTTGGGCTTGTTTCGTATTTGTTTGTATTTCTTTGGATGGGTGCGTCCTCTCCCCGCTTGACCGTATTTCAATTTGCATAAAATTGTTTTAAATGTTGTCACGACGTCGATCGTCTCGTTACTGTCATCTTTCATTATCGATGAAATGTGGCCGATGTGTGTGGTAGGCCGCAAACGATACTCTGTTTTCCCCTCCTCATTTCTAGTCCCAGTCCCAATTCCAATTATTTTAATTTAGAACCCACCAAATGTCACCTGAATCAAATGCGGCGTCATGGCTAAACATGATCAGCGCTTAGCTTGCCTTTAGTTTGATTCCGGCTCCCATTCTTTAGGAGACTTGGAAAGACGATCGATTCTATTAAAAGGCCGTAAAACTTGCGCTAATGACATGCACACCTGTTGATCCTTTGTTGTGGCAGTTATCGTGTGTGTTTTATGGGGGTATTGAATTTAGAATAGGTCCCAATAGGTCCCTGTCCCTGTGGAGTGATCTCTTTTGTGTCCGTTGAGATAATGGGCCGAGGTTTCATTCTTAGTGCCTCGGCTGAACTCTACATTGATTCCCTACATTCTTTTGTATTCTTGGAATTTACTAAAATGAGCATAAAGGTCATAAATATAATTTATAGTAAGTAAACTAATATCGGGCTATTTGAAAGTCATAGTAACATTTCTTTTGCAATTCTTAAATTAGACACTTGAGATTTATAAGGACACATTACCATTAAAAGGAAAGTGCAAAAGATAAAAAAAGGATACCAGCCATCTTCCTGAAGTTGAATCTCCACTTTTATTTGCATTTCGTATTCTCCCAGCACTTTCCATTTCCAAGGGCCCCGGCACAGGTGTGCTGTGTTGACCACCTGAAAAGCCAATCATAACTTAGCCCCAGGCCGATGACAGTCGGACGCCAGGCACCTAGAAAGATTTCACTGCGCCGCACACTTTTGTTCAATTTAAATTATGCATTTGATGAAATAATCAGCGATGCAATCAAGCTGCAGTCCCCGAACCAAGGCAGATAATATTACCATCTGTAGATGGGGCGATAGCGGCTGGGAGTGTGATTCCTGGACCGATGGCAGCTGCAACATGTGTTCGGGCATGTTGGACAGTTTTCCCGCGACACAATTCCATTTGATTGTGGCAACTTTCCCACAGAATCTCCATTTCCCTCCTGCCCCCCAATTTCCACCACTCCACCCCTCCGAAAGAGCCAAACAAAACGTTTACGTCTCAAAGGCAAGAGCGGGAAAAGCCAAGAGTGGAAGCGGCAGCGAGCTGGTTCACGGCTCGAAACATCAAAGTTCGGTGGAACGCATATCTCAGTGTGAATCAAGTTCGCCTACGCATTGGAAAAAAGTGGATCCATTGATTCCAAGTCGTTGTTGTCGTCGTCGTTGGATTCGTTTTTGTTGTTCCTCCTCTCGCTGCTGCTCTGGTGCCGCTCTGGTGCTGCCCTGGCTGTTGACTCTGCGGCTGTGGCAGCATTTGACTGCTTGAATTCAAATTAATAGGTGGCTCTGGCCTCGTTTATACCTGAGGGGAGTTTGTGAATTACTTCAGTGAACGATATTAGGATCAATGATCTTGTCTTTAATTAATTAATTCGTTATTTTATTGTTTTAAAAATGATTGTTCACCTCTTAATGCAAATAGACTACATATTTCTATAAGAATTTTTGATGATTTCTAAGAAGTATTTCATACAGAACTTTTTAAAATATGTCCAGCTAGCTTCTTATTTAATAATCCCATAGTTGTACCCTTTATTAAGTTTGACATATCGTATCGCCGCATAAACATTTACGATGCCGGTTGTCGGGACCGTGCGCAGGCGCAGCAATGAAAACAAAAACAAGCCCCGACCAAGCCGAGTCGAGATCAGGCAAGAGCCAGAGCCACAGCCACAGCCACAGCCAGAGTTGGAGCTGAAGCTGGAGCCGGAGTCAGAGCCGCAGTCAGCCTCGCAGATAAGTGGCCTGTGGCAAAATAAACGCCGCTTTATGGCAGTTAGCTGCAGTTTGTCCAGAGCGTGCGCCACATTCGAGGATCGGGGTAAGGGAGCACACAGGCGATTGAGGATTGGATGGTGGTGGCACTTCTCCCCCTGGAAAGGGAGCTCCTTCGAGTGGCAGCCAAGTGCTTGGTGGCTTCGTAGCTGCTCTGGAGTGGTTTGCATTTGCATGGCATGCGCTACCATTAGAAGCCATTTGGAGGAGGTTAATGGCAGGGGAGCGAAATGTGGGGAGTCCGTAAGAATAGGGGCTACGACCGAGCTGACTGGCAAATAGACCATCAAACGGGCTAAAGGGTTATCCAAAATGTGGGATTGGTGCCCCTTAAGAGGACTTAAATATAATAATATATGGAATACAGTATTATCCCGACCAGTGAACGGCGACGTCCCATTGCCACGAGATGGCCAAGGGAGTGTGGCTAAAAGCCTTTGCATGCTTCGAATCCATGTTCACACATTACTCAGGCCCTGCTCCTTCACGGGACCAGCCCTCCTCCTCCCCGGTTGCTTCTATGGCTCTTTTGGTCAGTGTTTGGACTCGAGGAAGATCGCGGGGACCTCGCCAGCAAATTGGAATTATGAATTATGAATGCGTGGTTAATAAAAAGAACGTCCAGCAAGAACGGCAGTCGAGACAGGGCAAGTGGGTCCGTCATGCTAACCATCCAGCATCCAGCATTCAGCTTCCACTGGATGCAGTGGAGGCGGCTGGAGGGCGGGGTTAGCGGCCGAAATGCTAATGCGTTCCTCGCTGCGCTTGACTGGATATTTTCCCAGCACTCAAACGAAGCCGCACCGAGCGGCGGACCCAGACAACATGGTCGGATGAGCCGAAACAAAGCAGAAAAGCGCAAAGTGCTGGCCGAAAGGGAACCAGAAGGAGGCGTGCGTCTCTGGGAACGTAGCCGGAAAGCGAAAACCCCCACGCAGCACCCAAATCCCAATACAGCCTGGCCGAGGGTACCCGGACAGCGCCTTGACTTAGACCGCTTGCCACTTAAGTACTTAACACTTTTTGCTAATTGCGCGGTGCCAGTTGGCAGTTGCCAGTTGGAGGCCATACCCGAAATGTTCCACGGCAGAAGACAATATTGACGCACACACTCGGGATTGGACAAGTGTGTTGCGGCCCACCATGGAAATGCCAAACCCTGAAGCTGATGGGTCTCATCATCTGACAGCACTAAAAAATAACACAAAAATCATTTTTTTGCGACTCGGCCTGTTTTTTCTAGCTAGCCAAATGTTGTTTTAATACCCTTTTTAAAATGAGAATATTGAATTTACTATAAGGGTTGATAATGAAAATGTTAACCTTGATTTGAAAAGCAAGTTGGAATTATTTTCCTATTTAGTCTTAATAGTTTAGACTTTACAGAATGCAGCTTGACACCTTGAATAATACCAATAATATACATAAATATTATGTTTGCTACAAGTAATTAGCCTCCTTTTTACAGAGTATAAAAGCGCTGTCAGCTTTAGAAATCCTCAAATCTTGTTTCGTCATTATTGTTAGCTTCTCGGGCCATAGCAAGCTGGGAAGCTAGGGCCAAGTCCGAGTCGCAGGGTCCAAGACTACAATTAACTCTGACTCTGTGTCTTCCGGCAGGCGAAAACGCACTGCACTGCATGTGCTTAGTCATAAAATATTGGAAACTATGGCTTCTGGGTCAGTTGGGCACGGTAGTTCTTGCTGATGGGTGATTTTCCTAGGAAATTGGACTGCCATGAGTTATGTCCTGACAAAGTGGGATGCAAAAGCGAAACACAAACCGAGCTGCACATGGCAATAGAGATGGAGATGATGGCAGAGGCCCAGCTGCAGATGAAGATGGGGCCGCGTGTAACTGTAACCCCGAACCGAAGCAACTAATGACCATGTCATGATATGTAAATATTTTGCAGAGCCACAAGCAATCCCACACTCCGGAGCATAAATAAGGAACGGTCAGGGAAATTTACATGCATGCAGTGCATTCGGATATGTTGTGTTTTGGCCATGGGCCATCCGCGTCACAGCCTACACAACACATGATGTTGGCTCTGGGCTTATTTATTTGGGCCTCGCTGGCTTTTAATAAGATTTTCTTGTAATTGTAATTTGTTTTCTTTTCGGGATCCGCCGCTGCCCTCCTGCAGGAGGCAGCAGGCACATGTCTCGTCGCTTGTCGAACCCCGCTTTGTCGGTGCTTTTGTGACCCTCGCCCTCTCATCCTCTCTCGAGCGCTGTCCCCTCCGCGGGTAACCTTTTCTCCTTTCCAACTCCCAGCTCACAGCTCAGTGGCCTTTGTGTAACCATTTCCACTAGCCATCATTAATAAATATGCCTTTGTGCGCCTCGGACTGTGTGTGTGTGCAACATTAACAGTCTTTTGTGGCTGTTTGTTCCTGCCTGTCGGTATTAATAAAAATAAACAATATGCCCCAGAACACATAGCACACACTCTCCCACTCCCATACCCATTCCCATTCGGATCCCTGCTCGATCGCATTAACAAAACAATCTGTGTCTCCCTTTTGCAGAGGCGTCCAGTGTCACGATAGCGTGAATGGAGCCCAGTGTGACTCCTGTCCGGCCGGCTACGAAGGTGATGGACGCACATGTTCGCTACGTAATCCTTGCCTGGACACACCGTGCCCCTCAGGTAAGTCGAAACAGAGTCGGGCCTCTATTGGATTTGCTTTGGGCCCGCTATCTGTTCCCTCCCCTCAAGTGGAGTTTTGTCTTTTGGGGAATTTGTTGGTTTTATGGCTAATTTGGGTTTGTTGTGCCATTAGCTCAGCATCGAGCTGGTTGATGGGTAAACATGGGATCATAGGACAAAATTTAAGGAAGAATTAGAAGAAGGAAATGGTTTGGAAACATTTTAATTGATTGGAATAAAGGGGATCAACGAAAAGTTTTAATTATTAAAAACCAGTAGTTTCAGAAGCTTTAAGCTAATTAAAGAAATAATGTATGTATAGTAAAAAAAAAATATGCTTTGGATATTATTTGATAATATTTATATTTATTAATATTTTTAGAATATCTATTTAACCTTCGATGTCGAGTTTAATAATATCATTGGCTATTTATTAACATGAATTTAACAATCCACAGATATTTTGCTAGAAACCTTATCTCCTAATAATCCCCAACCTTTTGAGTTTAGGGTAGCCGTCGGTTCACACGACTATTTGATTTATTAATGCCAACTTCGGTTAAATTCAGCTAATTTCGGCTCTCGGGCTCTGAGGACTCGCCGACCCTTTGATTGAATAAAAAAACCCTCGAAAATTATATGGTGCCAGGGGTAATTTCTGGCTTCCCGCGAATGTGTGAAACAAGACAAGGCTAATCAGGGCCCAGTTTCTCAACTCGGTTCCTGGGCGTGCTGGAATGTTGGGGCCCCCGTCAGTAGTAAGTCAGTCAGGTTGGCAAATCGCTTTGCGGCAGAAGTACAAAGAGCAGCTGGATTCAGTAGAGGTGGGATCCATTAGCCATGGCGGTGGGGAGACGTCACCAATTACACTACCTGATTACTAATAAACAATTCTCATTTGTACTAGGCAACATTCTAGTGCCCTCGCATAATGTGCAACACTATCAGAGGCAGAGCCAGTACACGGCCCGCAAATACTCGGTCGTAACGAACTAATCCGCAGCGGGAGAGCTTGACACACGCCTAAATTACTTGCTACCGAAACATAGAAAGTGCACATATTGAATACTACTACCAATATTAGTCATAAGTTGTAAGCTCTACGATTGGCAAACAGCGGAATTTAAGTATTAGCAATCCATCAGCAAAAGCAGCAAAAAAAAGAAATATTCAAGCAAGCAGCGAAGAAACAATAAAATTATACTTTTGATAAATCGTTGCATAGAGTACATATAGAGTACATGTCCCATTTCAATGCCCAGAAAGTGGAGTCTATAAACGTGTAACGAAATTTGTTTCCCTCCCCGCCCCGATCGAAATCTCCCAATTATTGTAATAAAATATGAATAATATTAATAAACAAAAAATGTATGCTGTAATTTTTTTCTATTTAATAAAAATAAACTCAAACATTGGCTCTATTTCATTTTTTGGCTCTCAAAAATCATCTTTCACACATCCCACATGTCTGTATATCGCATCATGTTTATACACTATCATTTTCTGGTCATGCCTCAGAAGATATAATTGTCAGGGTAAGTGAGTTTATTATCTGGTAGAGTATTATCTAGAGCAAAGCTTTGACTCCAGAGTCAGCAGAACCTCTGAAGACATTCGCACAGTGTCCTTTCTTATTGAACAGTTTTGTAAAACCGCTTCTTTCCCATTTTTTTTTTCTATAAAGTCAAGCTCTAAATTTTATTATTAACTTTAAATTATTATATCTTAGATTACAATATAAATAAAATCATAAATACATATTTTGAATGAAAACATTCTTTTCTTAGCACTTAGCTAATTACGCTTAAAAAATTAAAAAAACCTCTTTGACTTTTATTTACCATAGGGACTTATTTTCCTTCTCCGATAAAAAACTGATATGAAAACCAACAGGATATATTTTATAGTACAATTATGTTTTTCTGGCCAGAAGCCTGTTGAAGTTCCCCAACTTGTCTTCACTAAACACATCATCCGCTGCCACTAATCCCCCATTTCATCAACTAAACCCATTATTTGGATATCACTTATATCCGTTGTGTTCATTTCCCGCTGACCTCTCTTGATTGCATTAGGTGCCCAGTGCCTACAGGTAGGCTTTCCGCCTCACTTCCAGTGCATCACATGCCGGAAGGGTCACGAGGTCAACGGCACCAGCTGCCGGGACGTGGACGAGTGCCGTCTCTACATGCCCTGCGACGATCTCACGACCTGCACCAATCTTAATCCAGGCTTTCAGTGCGGACCCTGTCCACCAGGATTCGATGGTGTCCACGCCCATGGATACTATGCGGACTTTCTTTCGGTGGAGTATCGCAAGCAGACCTGCGTGGACATCGATGAGTGCCTGTCGGGCTTCTTCCGCTGCCCCGACCATTCCACATGCATCAACGAGATTGTGAGTGACTTTTAGAGAAGAAGATACGACTCTCTTCAGGAGTATACTAACTACCATGTCACTTCTGCAGGGTTCTTACCGATGCCAGTGCCACGAGGGCTATGTAACCAATGGCACCTACAGCTGCCTGGACCGCTCCTCGGTGGCCGTGTGTCCGGATGGCAACGTCTGCGACCGGAATGCCGTGTGTCTGCTGGCGGATAACCTGCGGTACCAGTGTCGCTGTAATGTGGGCTGGGCAGGAAACGGGGTGATCTGTGGGCGGGATCGGGATCTAGATGGCTGGCCGGATAAGTCACTCGAGTGTCCGCAGCTGCATTGCAGGCGGGACAACTGCCCCGATTTGCCCAACTCAGGGCAGGAGGACGCCGACTTGGATGGCCATGGCGATGGCTGTGACGAAGATGCTGACGGGGATTTGGTGCAGAACAACAAGGACAACTGCCCGTTGTCCTACAACACAGAGCAAGTGGACACGGACGGCGATGGAGTGGGCGATGTGTGCGATAACTGTGTGCACAGACATAATCCCCGCCAGCTGGACGCCGATGGGGATGGACGGGGTAACGAGTGCGACGAGGACAGCGACAACGACTCTATACCTAATGAGGGCGATAACTGTCCGCTCCTGCCCAATCCGAATCAATCGGATGTGGACAACGACGGCGTTGGAGATGTCTGCGACAATTGCCCCACGATCCCCAATCCTATGCAGGAGGATCGCGACATGGACATGGTGGGCGATGCTTGCGACAGCGGAATAGATGGGGATGACGACGGAATTCAGGATTCCGAGGACAACTGCCCAATGGTCAGTAACTCGGATCAGCTGGATACGGACGGGGATGGCAAGGGCGATGCCTGTGACGATGACATTGATGGCGATGGCATACCAAACTATAGGGATAACTGTCCCCTGGCCAGGAACCCCAAACAGCTGGACTTTAATGGCAACGGCAAGGGCGACATCTGCGAGGAGGACGAGGATGACGATGGAGTGCCGAACATCCTTGACAATTGTCCCAACAACTCAATGATCCACCACACGGACTTTCGCACCCTCCAGACGATTCCCCTGGATCCCGACGGCGACTCCCAGGTGGATCCCAACTGGGTGGTCCACGCCAACGGCACCGAGATAGTACAAACCCTCAACTCTGATCCGGGCCTGGCCGTGGGCAACGACTCCTTCGGCGGGGTTGACTTCGAAGGCACCTTCTACGTGAACGACGACACGGACGACGACTATGCCGGGTTTGTGTTTAGCTACCAGAGCAACCACAAGTTCTACGTGGTGCAGTGGAAGAAGGGCTCGCAGACCTACTGGGAGCCGAAGCCCTTCTACGCCTCCGCTGAGTCCGGCGTTCAGATTAAGCTGGTAGACAGCCTGACAGGTCCTGGGTCTAGAATGAGGAACAGTCTTTGGCACGAGGGCGATACGCCCGGCGAGGCAAAACTATTGTGGAAGGATCCAATGAGCATTGGCTGGAAGGAACGAACCTCCTATCGCTGGTCCCTGGTCCACCGACCGGCCATTGGCCTCATCCGCCTGCAGTGAGTAGTGATGAGTCTCTCGGGAATTCATGATATATCCATGTCATATTCGTCTTCTCCTTACAGAATGTTTGAGGGCCACCGTCTGCTCATGGACTCGGGCAACGTCTACGACTCAACGCTAAAGGGCGGACGGCTGGGCGTGTTCTGCTTCTCCCAGGAGATGATTATATGGTCCAATCTGCAGTACAAGTGCAACAGTGAGTAAAGCCCAGTCGAGGAGTCTTCAGTCCTGCTCATGCTCATCTATCCCTCTCTTTTATCTTCCATCAACAGACCACGTGGATGCCCTGATCTATAGAGATCTGTCGGATCACCTCAAGACGAAGGTGGATCTAAGCAACTGATGAGTCCCTCTTGCGAGCTTAAGTCCTTCTGCCATCCATGTTAACCAAATTAATGATTAATGCTAGGCTAAGTGAACACAGATACTACATAAGATAATAAATGAGTTGCAACCTTTTTTCTAATATAAAAGTAAACTAAAACTACTCTTTTAGAGAAGATATATTTATAAAGGAAAACCCCTTTGGAACTGTTATAGGAAACAATATTCTATCTATTCAAAAACCAGTACAATTTTCATAATTAAAAGTCACACCGAAAATGTTTTTAAAATACAAGTTTATGGTAAAATTAAGAATCACTCACTTTACCTGGTAGAAACACCTTCGAAGCCTTTATTGAAAACTGAAACTCTAGTAGGCCCTGAAAAATGCATTACCAAAGTCAAACCTAATGTCCCCCGTGAACATTATTCTACTCGCACATCTCATTAGCGTAGGAACATAGTTCAGACTAGGGAAGGTTCAGTTGCTAAAAAGGTATATATACAAACCGAACCATCGTACACACAGTTGTCGAGCTAGCCGACATATATATTTAAATTCGGTTCAGTCTTGCTATAAATTGTTAAGGGTAAGTAAGAGCAGAGACTCAGAGTCACTTGAAGGCGCTATCCAAATTGATCGGAACCCTTTCAAGCGTCTAGGAACCAACGATGGCCAACCGTAATGTGCCAGCGACTCCATCTCAGGAGGAGTTACGTGAGAAAGTGAACATTAAGAATGTGAAAAATTCGGAAGAACGTGAAACAGACAATTCGAACACGAATGTAGACACTGACTCGCTGCCGTCCGTTTCCTCGGCGGGGGCTGTGAGTCGCGGGGCCGTTAGCACAATTAGGAGCCAGACCAAGATTCCGGGGCCCATTTCTCTCGGCCCCAGCTCCAGCACCTTTAAGTTAACCAGCCGCAAATACACAAGTGTCCTCGACGTTAACAGACTTCGTCAGCAGTCGGCCAATGACTCTGGCATCCAGATGGACTCTTCGATGTCCGATGCGGAGGCAACCGCCATGACACCCATACCCGCCCCCGTTCCGTCAAGCCGAAGCGAAATGGAACTGAAACTGGCCGAGGAACAAACCCTGAAGGAGCTTCAGCGCGTCGTTGCCGAAATGGAGGCCGAAGTGGCGTTGGCCGACAAGGAGTACGCGGAGTTGGATCTGTTAGATTCATCCAAATTTGACCAGACGTCATTGTCTAGCGACGTGGAGCCGAGACGAGAATTAGATGACCTCCAGGCCAACGAGGACAAGTCAGCTCCCATTGAGGCACTACTGGCCGATGAAACTGAACAGGGATTGGCACAGAAACAGGCATCAGACGATGTTCAGAAAATCGAGGCAACTGCTCAAGTGGAGGGCGCACTAGCTGCCCCGGAGGCTAGCCAGAAACTGTCACCTGACGGGACTCAGATCAACTCGGAAAAATGTGGGCAGGAGCACCCTCTTGCTGGTACGATCACTAATGAAGTGGCTCAAGACAATCAACAGATGCTGAAGAAACTGACGCAGTTAGAGGAACCTGAACCTGAAAAGAATCTCTTGGAGCCTATCCCTCAGGGTTCTGTGGAGAAATTCCCACAGATCGTACTTGAGGAACCTTCTAGGGGCTCTGTGGAAGCGCACCTTCAGCAAGCTTTCGCCAATGTTAATCAAGCTCAGGAGCAGGTGACGCCGGAGGAGCCCGGAGATGCATTGAACGAAGCTTCCGGTGAACAAACGGATGCTGTGAGCGAGAACTTGCTGAGCGAGGCAGAGCCAGGGATTGGGGAACTGGATCTGGCCACCACCTCGGAGAGTGGGCTAGTCACCCAGCCCTCGCAAACAAATAGCCACACGGAAGACCCCTTGGACAGCAATCGCAATGTGATTACCTTGGAAGATCTGCTCCGAAACGCCAGCAACGTAGAGCTGCTGCGCCGGCTGCTCCAAATCGGGGCAGAGGCCAACATGGTCGAGCCTGAGCCGGACTTTGCCACGCAGGAGTCATCGGCAGAGGATAAAGAGGAAACTGAGTCAGTACCTGAAACAAGTACGACTTCTGGCACTGCCACGGGAACGGAAGCCTCGACCGACGAGGATGGGGAGCTGGGGAACGATGACGAGGACGAGGATGGGACGGATGTGTCCTCTCAGGGACTCAACAAGGCGACAGTTTCTTTGGTGTGGCGCCTACTCTCCGGCAAGATGTTACACCTAGCCTGTCCAATACTATTTTGTGGCTTTGCTGCCGGCTTGATATACATGTCGCGCAAGTAAATTGGAAATTACACCGAATGCAAGTACCTATCACCGATTCGACTCAGATTCCTTGGTACACATTGTGCAAGGCTCTTCAAAATCGCTCGATACATTGGCACAGAGTTGACCTAAATTATATAAAAATCAATAAAGAATTTCAAAACCAATAAATATATATGATTTTACGTTTTTAATTTGTAATTCAATTTAAGCGCCGATAACGGAGGTGATCGAATAGACAGGTTGCGCTACCTCACGGAACAAGCAGTGGTTGCAATCGCAAGCAGTGCCTAAAGTCGATTAATCGATTAATAATCAAATTTGAAATTGATTCTGAGCTGTCATTTTGTGCAAACTGACGGACAGACGGACATGGCTAGATCGAATCATTTTTAAACCCTTGCAGGGTATTATAATTTCAGTCATAAGTTTGCAACGCAGTGAAGGAGACGTTTCCGACCCTATAAACCATATATATTCTTGATCAGCATCAACAGGGGAATCTTTCTAGATATGTCAGGAAGAAATCGATTTTTTGGCAATTTTTGCAAAATTTGATAAGGGGTTACATCATTAAAATTTTTGATTTTCATAAAAAATTGAATTTTCAAAATTTTTAAATGAAGTATGCAGATTTATTAACTGTAGAAAATCTTGCACAGAACAGTTATCCGATTTAAAATTAATGCTCTTTTGGCCGAGTTATGATATTTTTAATTAAAAAAAAAATAAGAAGTTTTTTTAATATAAAAAATCAGATTTTATAATACAAAATAATATTTTTCTAAGTCAAGGAATCATTTCCGACCCCATAAACCATATATATTCTTGATCAGCATCAACATGCGAATCTTTCTAGACATGTCCGGAAGAAATCGATTTTTTGGCCATTTTTGCGAAATTTGATAAGGGGTTACATCATTAAAATTAGCAAAAATGGCCAAATTTTTTGATTTCTTGAAATTTTAAATTTGGTATGCAGTTTTTTAAATTAATAAAAACTAACACAAAACTGCTTTCCGAATCGAAATTAATGCATTTTTGGCTTAGTTAGGATATATTTTAATTGTTACCTGCAAGGGTACACAAACTTTGGCTGGCCAAAGTTTGCTTTCTTTCTTGTTCTACCTCAAATTCGTTTGAAATTTAAGTTTTGTCATTTGTTGTTTTGACATTTATCAGTAACCTGTGCCAAATCTGACTTTTAAAAATATCCAAATTTTCACATATGTATGTATGTTTTCCCACTTTTTATGTAAAAACTTGTACGGCCAACGAAATTGTATTTTGCGGATCTTCTTATAAATATTATAATGACATATTTAGCGAGTGTCTGCGCTGCTGGCCTCATTCACCTGATGCACAATTGGGTCTTGCCGCCCGACCGGTCCAAGTTGCTGGGACCACAGTTACCGTCTATCTTGGTGGCCATTGCCCTGCTGGATCTGATCTATGATAATAGACTTTTACCCCATGGTTTGGAAGTAATGTCTGTCATGCTCCAACGGTTCTGCGAAATGACAATGGCGCTCATCTTGCTGGAGCTGGGCATTAACGTCATCTGGATACCGGTGGAGCGCCTTATCCACCTGCTGACTAAAATATTCTTGCGTAGCACGGGTCTTCTGTCAGAAGGTTTCGAGGGCTTCTGGGTGGGCTGCGTGACAGTGCCACTGTCCCTGGTGATCCTGGCCTTCGTTGGCCACGCCACCGATCACTTCTCTTTGCTGCGCAGCCGAAGCTTTCGTGTGAAGACCAGGGTCCTGCTCAACGTGGACGCATCATTGCGCTATCTAAAGCGTAACCAGAGAGTCACCGGAATGCCGTTGCCCAATTACGCCGAAAAGCTTCAACAACACAAGGATGCTGCAACCAGGCGCCGACGAGGTCAGGACTTCCTAAGACACTTCCACGATTAAATAAAGAATTCACATAGTTTTTTAATTAGATTCGTTTGTTTGTTTTTTATTTTTTACAAGAGATTTCTAAAATAATTGTCATACATAATAATTAAATTGCTTTTATTAAATTACACAATAACGACTATATTTGATTTGCTTTCAACAGCACTCGCGAACAATTGATGTGTGGTTGGAAAAATCTATGTTTATATAAGGTTTACATATAGCATATATATATAGTGTGTATTGCAATTTCGATTACTTGTTTAGGTAAATAATACTTAAGATTAAAACAATGTTTTTCATTCATTATATTACGCATAAGTTCGACTTAATTTCATTTAGTTTGCATACCTAAAGAGCACATATGGGAGTTACTAATTTAAGCTTTCTCGTCTCGTTACGTTTTGTCGCGTTCTGAAGGAGCTCTCGTAGCCTTGCATTAAGCCACGTAATATCCGAGATATTTGGGACTGAAGATGGTTCGAAATCGTGTCGCGAGACCATTACGTCGATTCAATGCAAGGCTCTCCAGTGAGTATTTGTGGGGCAGTGTGCTGGGAACACTGTGCTGACAGTGCGTTGCTGCTCCTCCTTTGTCCTCCGCTTTCCATTCTTTATTTATGACCACATTTTACATTAAAGCAGCTTGGTTATTCTTGCAATTCATCCTTCCTTACTGCACTTCGCTATCACTATCACTCTTCTCTGAAAATTCAAAACAGGGAGCCTTGTTAGTATGTAGAGGCAGAGAGGATCTGCTGGATGGTCTTACCCTTCTTGCCCGGATAGGCGTGACGTTTCAGTCGGTCGTATAAGTCTTCTTTAGTTCCGTAGAGCGAGGCATTGGACCTGGCCAGCGTGCTCATCTTGCCGCCATGCAGACCTGGAAATGGGTTAAGAGGTTAATATTTTTTTTGAATAAAAATTGTTTTATTAAATTAAAACTTTGTTAACAAGAAATTTATACTTCTTCATAAGCAGTTAGCTTAATGCCTAGGTGCCTCTGAAAGATCTGTTCTACTATTTGTAATTTGGAATAATACTATTATAATTATATATACAAGTTTCTAAAAATCAAAAAGAAACATAGTTTTAATAAAATGCAAGGTTACCCTTATCAGTATTAGAAATATTTAAATGTACATATGACCTATTGCAGTTTTAAATTATTTAATTAACAAAAAGAGTAAAGCCTATAGGCTATATCTTATCTGGAGAGTAGAAAATGGAAAAGTAAGTAAAGCCTTCCGTCTATAAAATTAAGCAAGAATATAATATATTAGCTCATCTTAGAAACTCCCTTTTATTAATGACCTAAGACACACCCTCTGATTTTTAATCCAATCTCAGATATAAAGCAGAACCTCAAGATCTAACTACATTCAATGCTGTACCAGATGGCAATACAAGCTCCTCATCAACGTCACTTACCATCCTTCATGTACGTCTCGTTGTAAAAGTTTGGCATCTCCCAGCCGTCCTCCTCGTCGTCGTAGTAATGGGCGTAGGTGCTGTGATGCGAGGGCGCAATGGACTCCGCATAGGGCGTGTGGGCGCCATAGTAGAAGTTCACCTGGGATCCGGTCTGGTCGATGGCCGGGGTCAGCATCTTCTTGGGGTCGCGCCGCTTGGTCGAGCGCACGCAGATCATCCAGATGAGCAGGACGATAATGATGATGAAGATCACGGCTCCGGCGATGCCGCCCGCAATGTAGGCAAACTCAGAGCGCTCGGCACAGTGGGGTCCAGTGAAGGAGCCGACGCAGCGGCACGACGGTGTGCCCTTCAGATCCTTGACGCAGGCACCCGAGTTCTCGCAGTAGCCGTCGCAGACATCCGTGCAGGCCATGCCCGTGCCGTTAAATCCGGGCTTGCACTCGCACTTGAAGTCAGACGTCTCTGGCACCATGATGCAGTAGGCGTTGGCATCGCAATGTGGCTTGCCCTCGGCAATGTGCTCGCACGGATTCGTGCACTCGCTCTTCGAGGTGGCCCCGGTGATCTTGGTGCTGTGGTTCGGCGGGCACTGCAGGCAGGCAGTCTGCTGGGACTCCGACTGGTAGAAGCCCTTGCGGCACTCGATGCACATATTCAGCGTGGCGTTCAGATACGTTCCGGGCGAGCACACTGGCAGGGTGCACTCCTCCACGGAGCTGGCGCCCACCTTGGGTGTGGTCCTGCCCAGCGGACAGGCGGCGCACGAAGGCTGGACACCCTGGAGGCGGTAGGTACCGCGCGGACAGGGCTCGCAGCGACCGTCGGCGCCCAGCTGCTGGCCGGAGCTGCACTCGTCGCGGCACTCCTTGCGCGAAGTGGCCTCAGTGGAGCGCGTCGTCTGGCCCAGGCCGCAGAGCTCGCAGCTAAAGGCACCTTCGTTCGGTTGGTAGAATCCATGGCCGCAGGAGCGGCACAGGCCTGTCTCGGCGTCAAAGTACTTGCCAGCCGGGCAGCGCTCTTTGCAGTCCGCCGCCGAGCGGGCACCGGGTCCAGCTGTGACTCCGGGCCGGCCGGCTATCACCGGACACTTGCTGCACTGCTGCTGTCCAGCCTCGGATTGGTAGGAGCCGCGGGCACAGGCGATGCAGGTCTTGTTGGCACTGTCGTAGAAGGTGCCGATGGCACAGGGCACGCAGTCGGGAATCATCACCACCTGACCGACAGGACAGGCGTATTCGGAGCCCAGTTCCAGCGAGGCTGGATCCGGAACGGTGTTGGGCAGGATCTCCTGAACGGCGAACTGGTCGTCCTCAAGAATGAGCTTCTCGAGCAGCTGCTTGACGCTGGATCGCTCGCCGGTCGAGGTGTGCACCACGGGATCGCTGCAGAGGGAGAGAAGCCGAGATGGTTAGTTGGGTTCCAATGGGGTTACCTTGTTCGTAAGATTAATAATTAGGTGCTCCAATGGCCATTTCCAGATTTACAATTCGTGTATCGCATAAATGCTTTGACTTTAATTTTTTTAATACAAAATTTGTAGTAAAAATTATAAAAAATATTTAAATTTCTCTCTCTAAACCTTCACCATTATTTCCCTGAACATTTCCTCGAATGATTATATTCTTTTATGTGACACACACATGCAAATCCCTTCCGGCCATCAAAGGTCAAGCATTATGTTGTGGTTAGAACGCTTTTAACATTTAAGATGGGGTTAGCATGGTAACGAGTGGAGGGCACGGCGATGGGTGGGTTGGAGTTGATGGATGTTGGATTAGACTGAGAGACTGAGAGATTGCTTTGGTTGGTAGTTGGTAGTACTGGGTGCAGAGCAGATGCTGGGTCGAGGCAAACAACGGGGTGCAGTTAGCTTTAGCTGATCGCACTAGCGAGTGCTGGACATACTTTACAGCCGGGAAGGCTATCTCCAGGGTGTACGTGTCGCCGCCGGTTTGCTGGCGTCCCTGGCGACCCGTCAGAGCCAGGTCGTCATCCTCCTCGCTGCAAATTGGGTTAACGAACACACAAAACACATATGACATATACACAGAGTACGAGTACGAGTGCGAGAACGAGTCTCGGGAGCACGAGATCAGGACATGCTAGACTGGTGGCTTCACTCTTCCCCCAATGGCATGCCTCTACTTACTTGACCACTGGCAGCTCGGCCTCCATTACATAGACACCGCCATCCTTGGCCTGGCGACGCACTCGGTTATTCTGGGCAGCTCGGTAGTGATCGCACTTAACATCGATCTGGATGTCCTTGCACTCCCTGAAAATATCAAAAGCACGCGAGATTAAGTACGTCATCCCAGACTGGACTGGATGTAACACCCACCTGGTTCCTTCAATGGCGTACGAGCAGAAGTTCCAGTCGCGGTTCAGGCCATTCACGGAGTTGGTCACCTTCTGGCGGAGCACCGCCTGACCAGCCTTGTTGCACAGCACGTCCGAGGGGAAGAGCATCTTGATGCGGAACACCCGCTGGGCGGGCTTCGAGGGTGAGCACGATGGGTAGACCAGGGGCGTCGAGGGTTCGCGAGTGGGTCGCCAGAAGCCCTCGGCTCCGCAGGTATAGAACTCAGGAACTTGCTCCGAGAAGCGCAGGCCGGCATTACAGGCGATCTCGCAAACCTTGAACTGGCCGCCGGCGCCCCAATCCTTGCACACCTGGGAGCCACCAACGGGATCGGCCAGAGGTGGACAGAAGTCGGCTGAAAGTAATAATTATCATAAGTAAGAGTGAAGGAGAATTACCACTCGTAATACTTACTCAGCAGCGACACCTTGAAGCTGCAGGAGGCAGTGTTTCCGGCGGCATCCGATGCGATGTAGGTAATGTCGTAAGTGCCCCAAAGGAGCGTAGTACCGGATCGGTGTCCGTTGCGCTCGTAGATCTTGGTCACGCCGATATTATCGCTAAAGTGCGGCTCGTCCCAGTTAACCACCGCCGATCCGTTCTTGGCAATGACCCACAGATCGCCGGGACAATGCTCTACCACTGGTGGCTCCTTATCAACCACCAGTTGCTGGCAGTTGGGGCCAGTATAGCCTACGGGGCACTTGCGTTGTCCACAGAGCGAGGGCACGTTGCGCTCCACTCCGCCGGAGGTCACCTCGTAGCCAGCCCAGTTAAGGATCAAGCCAGGATAGAGAACTGGCTCCGATCGGCAGTCGCGGACCTGCTTCTGGATCTCCGAGGTGATGTCGAGGGCTCGGGCCCACACCTGGGCCTTGGTCACGGTTCCCTGGAAGCCGGCATCTGAGTAGGCCAGCTCATGGCTCAGGCCGTACGGCTGTGGGCGTCCCAAGACGGCCCAGAGATGCGATGGCAGTGAGCCACCTGCTCCGTACTCCATCTTGCTGGCAATCAGTCCCTCGGTGATCAGTTGCAACTGTCCGGAGATCCCATCCCAGACCACGGCTACGTGATGCCACTGGCCGTCGTTCACGGAGGTGTACTCGCCGAAGCTCAGGAAGGCGTCGGATTGATCCTCGAAGAGCGATACCTGGACACCGCTAGAGTGGGCCTGGAGCAGCATGCGACGGCGCTGGGTTATGCGGGCGGACTCCACGCCGTAGAGCGTAAAGAAGATGCCGGGGTC